AATTACTAAGGAGAGAGAGATGTGACGATATCAGAAACGACGCGTTGTTTACGATTCAACGGTACCGTGGATCTTATCAAGCTCGTCTATACAGAGCTCTTTTTCTGTCTAGATCTAGTCACAAGTGGTAGCAATGTTGCGTAACGCCGATGTTTGGCAAAGTTATGCACTCGCTGTGAACCCGAGCGCGATAATTATTTTTACAAACATCACTTATCTGTGGCGCTAAAACAATTTGCTCCAAATAGATACTCGACATTTTTTTAACGCGTTTTAGTATGGACAAATTATACAAGTTATATCGACGATTCTCACTTTGATCCAGGTTATTCTCGAAACAAGTAAATAGAAGGAAAATAACGATGATAGAGGACAGTCGATTCAGGCAATCGTTTCGCTATAAATATTTTCTACTCGTAAAAGCTTATTACCTCGGGAATGAGCGCGATATCGAAAGTAGGATGTACCGTCTAAAATTGCAATAACTACAACGCCGGCTAAAAGTGGATCAGAGAGATTAACCTTAATATCAAAAGCTTACATTAAGAAGCCATAGAATGTCATTCTATGCGAGAAGAGGCAACGGATGACTGCCAGAATAGTCAAGATCTTCGTCCCACTTTCCACTGACGATTCTTGTTCTTTAATAAATTGATCAATGTTCTTCGATCACCAAAATAGCACAGAAATACAAAAATATGCAAAAGAAAACTTCTAAACAAAATTGTCAAGATTTCACTGTGATTTTTTTTATCATAAATTATGATTTTCTTCTGTTTTGGAGAATTCTGCAATTCTTTATGTAACAAAAAAGCCACGTGAAAAAATATTGTTATTGATTTACCAGCATTCAGTCATAACAAAAATAAAGAAGTTCCATAGGTAAACAATTTTTTATTTTATTAAAAAAACAAGGGTATCCTTCGAATAACCTTAAAGTCGTTCAACGAATAAAACATAAATATAATAATTTGAAATGGAATAATTTTTACATATTTAATATTTTTCAGCCTCTACGTAGGTCCCTCATAAATTATTATAATAGAATTTATAAAATACAGGGAATTGTACGATCTGAATAAATCTTTTTTATTATTGACTGAACACTAAAGGATAAACGAATTAAGAATTAGATGAAACTAGTGTGTTTTGTAGAAACGAGTCGCGTTTTAGTGAAGTTTGAGAAGCACTGCTGTATGGTGACGCAACGAATATTCGATGTACGTATGTATGAACGTACGCGTTCCATTCCTGCACGCATTCGCGAAGGCAACCACCTCGGTTTGTCGTTTTTCCCCCCTTCTGTCGCGTGCAAGAGGCGCGAGACCACTTGTTCCACCGTACTTTAAGTTTTACACTTGAAGCAGCTGTCGAAACACAATTTTCAAAAGGGTTGAGAATTTTCTACCATCACTCCCACCCCCTCGACGAGACCAAAGTTTCAAATACATTTTAAAAGATTATTAGTTTCATTTGTTCCTATTTTTCGCGGTAATTTTGTATTCGTCCAAAGCAAAATTCTTATCGCGCGATATTTGAATAAATAATATCGAGTAGAAATTTTCCAAATGTGTCCTAAATAGGAGCGGTGATAGATCGATCGCATCGAAAGCGAGGGACCCAGTTATTCCGTTCGAATATCCGGGGCACCCAGATCCATTAATCCCGTCCAGTCCGCGAGGCGTTTTATTCGAATTTTTTCGGATACAAGCACGTACGATGTTAATACATTTATCGAAGGACCGTAAGGGGAATCAATACACGGGAGTAAAAAAGAATTTCCGCGCCGCGTATTTTTAGATCAACAGATGCCGCAGCCTTGAGTGTATAAAAGTTGCTCTAAAAATAAATGACCAATCCCGAAAGCTTATTTACTAATGGGAAATCGGTTCATCGACGTGTAACGGTGTATACCGCGAGTACCGTTCTATGGAACGACGACGAGCGGAATTCCTTTATTTTTCGCGCGAATGCAAACTAACAAAGTTACTTTTATAGTTTCGATACTTACTTTTCGAAAGAAAACTACGACCATAATTTATTAACAATTTGAATATTCAGTGTTCGGTCATTCCTGGAAAAAACTTTAATGATAGATTCTAGGGTCCAAAATAAGGCGAAAATCAAGAATACTAATTTGTTGATTGAGGCTTCGTTGAAAAGTTATTAACGTTCAAAGTTGTGGCTGTCGAACTGCAATTTCTCCACCTTCTCGATTTTTTTTCTCGAAAGGGGGTAGGAATTCGAGGGTATGTCTATTCACCAAAAATACTTGTTACTGACCCCTGTAACTAATTATAATTTTTTTAATATGATTTGAAACTTTTTAATTTTGCCAAAAATTTCACACTTTCTCGAATTTTTTTCTCGAAACTGAGTAGGATTTCGAAGGTATGACTAATAATAAAAAATGATTGTAATCGACCCCTGCAACCGAAAATAATTTTTTTAGGATGATTTGGAAAATTTTTTTTTCGCGGAAAAATTTCATCTTCCCGAATTTTTTTCTCGAAAGTGGGTAGGAAATCGAGGGTATGTCTATTCATAAAAAATACTTGTTACTGACCCCTGTAACTAATTATAATTTTTTTAATATGATTTGAAACTTTTTAATTTCGTCTAAAAATGTCACACCTTCTCGAATTTTTTTCTCGAAACTGGGTAGGATTTCGTAAATATGTCTAATGACCAAAAATGATTGGGATTGACCCCCGTAACCAAAAATATTTTTTCCAGAACGATTTGAAACTTTTCAATTTTGTCGAATAATTTCACAACTTGTCGAATTTTTTTCTCGAAAATGATTAGGATTTCGAAGGTGTGTCTAATGACCAAAAATGATTATAATTGACCCCTGTAACTAAATATAATTTTTTCACTATGATTTGAAATTTTTTTTTTAGCCGAAAAATTTGTCTACCTGTTCGAATTTTTTTCTAGAAACTGGGTAGGATTTCGACTATATGTCTATCGACAAAAAATAATTGTAATTAACCCCCGTTATCAAAAATATTTTTTCCAGAACGATTTGAAACTTTTCAATTTTGTCGAAAAATTTCACAACTTGTCGAATTTTTTTCTCGAAAATGATTAGGATTTCGAAGGTGTGTCTATTGATCAAAAATGATTATAATTGACCCCTGTAGCCAAAAATAATTTTTTCAGAACAGCTGCAAATATTTTGGACAGTGTACTGTTATTAAAAGTTTCTCAATTCGATTGAACTGAGTTGTAATTATTCTCGAGATTGTACGTTCGATAAAGCCGCCATTTTAATCGACGTTTTCATTCAAAATAAATGTGCGTCGTTAGATGCTTGAAACTTCAAACTGCTCGACTAACACACACGATTAATAATTCATCGCGCGGCTAGTAAATTCATTAATCTAACTTTGCACGAACGTATTATCATGAAAGCACCGTTTTCCGGAAGTGAAAACCGCGCGCTTATGGCCAATCATCGACTATTATTAAAATATGCAAAGTCGATGATTTCTGGAAATGCAACATCTAATATTTAATTTCCAATTATTACAAAGGACTATTTTTAATTGAATATTTTCTAGGCATCGTTGTAAAATGTATTTATAACTCAAAAAGAACCACCTTCTTTTAACCTCAAGGTGAGCAGTTATTTCAAGGATACCCTATAGAACATTTGCCACACTCTTTTAATCATGGAACATTTTTTTGTCCAATAATATATTTACAGAACGTTTCTATTCTATTTGGTTTTTAAAATGAAAAACGTAGACTTCACTTCTACTATTTCATAAATAAAGCTTTCTTTTCGACCACAAAAGAAACAAATCACAATATACGTCTGTGTAACGAAGAATTAGTCTAATATTCTCAGAATAATTTTCTCACGATTAGCTAAACCCGACTTATTAATTTTCATTCTCATTCTCAGGGACTTTCAGTACTGTAAATTGCAGGCCTAGTGATCTATCGCCGCTGTCATGCACCTTCGGAGTGACCCTTGTTATTCTCTATCCAATTATTTCCTTTTGTCTATTTTAAGACGTTCTCTTTATCTATCATGCATGAGGCCTAGATCACGTAATCCTTATACACTTTGCTCAAAATAATCGCCAGGATTATCAGCTCGGATTTATGGCTTAATAGATATCCAATAATAGACTGTCTCAAATAAGACTTCAAAGTGCTTATCAAAATTACAACAGAATTTACCATCGAACTGCTTGCTTATTAAATGTACTCTGTTGCCTATGCATTCCTGTAAACATTAATTATATCGTAACTTGAACCGCTTCTGTGCAATGCTTAATCGGTTTAACGCGGCGTGTGTGCTCGTGAGTAATGGATGACCAGTGTGCATTTGGAAAAAGGGTCAATTGAGTGTGAACCGTATAACAGGGAGTCAGACACAAATGATTTGCGAGCTTCACTCGAGCATCGCGAAAAGAACCACCGACTAGGAACATCCGTTAAGCTTTTCACCCCAATTCATCTACACTTTTCTTTTTTTATATTTCAACAGCTCTTACCAAACTGAACTCTTATCAAAATAATATTTATTCGATTTTTCATTGTGACTTGTTGGATTTGGGTGAAAAAGTAGTAGTCCTTCTTTTACTAAATGAAAGTTTATTCTTTGGTTTCGAAGGACGTCTTTACTCTGCTAAAACTGAACAAGAAGTGACGCGACGCTTAGGTCCCCTAAAAAGGAAAACTGGTGTCCACTTAAAATGAAAGAAACCATTGCCTGCATCGTGTTTATTTCCCTTGCCTTCGATGACAAAGACAGACCCAGGCCCCTAGAACCTTCGACTACAGACAATGGACAGTGTTTCTCACTGTTAGATTCAGTTTTGTGAAGGATTATTTATTAATAATCCAACATGTACCAGTTTTCTAAGATAGGAAACAAGCTTTTCTTCATTTACAGTGATTCATTATAGTGTATATGAATTGTAGAAGTGGGTGTAACTGTACGTATGTGAATTAGTAATTATCAGGATTAGGAAGAAACTCACCCATTGATGATGGAAGAGGATTCATCATTGTTAGGTGGTCCCGACACGTGGACCTTAGGCACGCTGCACGCATCCACCTGCCCTTGACCATGACCATGACCCACTTGCTGCTGATGGCCGTGAGTTGCCGAGTATTCATCGCTGTCGCTGCTGTGCGGAGGCTCAGGTCCTACTCCGCCACGAGGTCTGCAAAAAAAATCAAATTTCGTCAATATAAAACCTAATCCTTCCCTCCAAAATGATTTGCCACCTTCAATCTTTTAATCAAACACACAGAAGACATTTGTATGCATCGTTGCACACAGAGAGAGCCATTTGCACCGAGTAAACCGGAAGAAAGTTTTAGAAAGTGTTCACGTAATGAAACATTTGTCAAAATTAAGTTTAAAATCAAATCTACTATATGCAAAATTCATGCAACGAATAAATGTACTACTTTATATATAAATAGCAATTTTTCCAGAAGCCCTTCCATTTTATACGAAGGTTAATCGTGTTTTATCGAATAAAGGAACATAATCGCGAACACGTGAGATTATCTGCGTCAAAATTAAGTTTAAAACCAAATCTTCTATATGCAAAATTCATGCAAATAAATGTACTACTTTAAAATGTATAAATAGCAATTTTGATGAAGAAACTAGTCCTTAATTACGATATTCCGAAAGCTTCAGTGTGGGTGAAAAATGACCCGCCATCGACCTTCCATTTTATACGAAAATTAATCGTGTTTTATCGAATAAAGGAACATAATCGCGAACACGTGAGATTATCTGCGTCGATAATGCTTTAAAACCGTGCGCTCTTAATACAAATCTCCACGAACGTGATTTCCTGCACGATTCGTTATCGATCGATCGTATTTTGTGTACAATATATTTCACGAGGTTTCGAATTATAAAGAAAAGCAGAATAATTTTAATTCGATGGGTCGTGCATAGGTTGCAAGGTTACATTTCTAATTCACTGTCGTCATTGGTGGACTTCGATAGACTGGGAAAAAATCCTACAGATAACTCTAAAGTTCAATAGATTAGGTATTTACTTCGTTTGACACGAGAATTTTATGTGATTATGCACATAAAATTCCAAGTTCTTCTCGTACTATTCCTAGTTTAAAATCAGCAGTATGTTATTTAGTTCTTATTTAGTATTTTTATACTGTTTTTTACATCTTTTGATTTATGTCTTGGAAAGGATCATGCTATACACACGAGAATATATATTGCACATTTATTCATTAAATAATCGTTTGATTAAACAAGGAACAAAATAATTTGTTATTTTGTATAAAACATGTTCTTTTCAATTTTAGTTTATTTAGTGATTAGATACTCCTTTGTCAGTCCAGATGCTGCTCGTTGAAGTATTATATTCTTTCTATACAAGCTGGTATTATAAATTAATATTTAATATAAAGTGCATATTTGGTTCTAAAAATAAAATACCTAAATGCTGCTTTAAAACACTTTTTTTCTCGAAAGGGGGTAGGAATTCGAGGGTATGTCTATTCACCAAAAATACTTGTTACTGACCCCTGTAACTAATTATAATTTTTTTAGTATGATTTGAAACTTTTTAATTTTGCCAAAAATTTCACAACTTCTCGAATTTTTTTCTCGAAACTGAGTAGGATTTCTGGGGTATGTCTATTGACCAAAAATGATTATAATTGACCCCTGTAACTAAATATAATTTTTTCAGTATGATTTGAAATTTTTTTTTTACCCGAAAAATTTGTCTACCCGTTCGTATTTTTTTCTAGAAACTGAGCAGGATTTCGACTATATGTCTATTGACAAAAAATAATTGTAATTGACCCCCGTAACCAAAAATATTTTTTCCAGAAGGATTTGAAACTTTTCAATTTTGTCGAAAAATTTCACAACTTCTCGAATTTTTTTCTCGAAACTGAGTAGGATTTCTAGGGTATGTCTATTGACCAAAAATGATTATAATTGACCCCTGTAACTAAATATAATTTTTTCAGTATGATTTGAAATTTTTTTTTTACCCGAAAAATTTGTCTACCCGTTCGAATTTTTTTCTAGAAACTGAGCAGGATTTCGACTATATGTCTATTGACAAAAAATAATTGTAATTGACCCCCGTAACCAAAAATATTTTTTCCAGAAGGATTTGAAACTTTTCAATTTTGTCGAAAAATTTCACAACTTCTCGAATTTTTTTCTCGAAACTGAGTAGGATTTCTGGGGTATGTCTATTGACCAAAAATGATTATAATTGACCCCTGTAACTAAATATAATTTTTTCAGTATGATTTGAAATTTTTTTTTTACCCGAAAAATTTGTCTACCTGTTCGAATTTTTTTCTAGAAACTGAGCAGGATTTCGACTATATGTCTATTGACAAAAAATAATTGTAATTGACCCCCGTAACCAAAAATATTTTTTCCAGAAGGATTTGAAACTTTTCAATTTTGTCGAAAAATTTCACAACTTCTCGAATTTTTTTCTCGAAACTGAGTAGGATTTCTGGGGTATGTCTATTGACCAAAAATGATTATAATTGACCCCTGTAACTAAATATAATTTTTTCAGTATGATTTGAAATTTTTTTTTTACCCGAAAAATTTGTCTACCTGTTCGTATTTTTTTCTAGAAACTGAGCAGGATTTCGACTATATGTCTATTGACAAAAAATAATTGTAATTGACCCCCGTAACCAAAAATATTTTTTCCAGAACGATTTGAAACTTTTCTGAAACTAAATGCTGCTTTAAAACACCCCTAACGCAAAGAAACCATTTTAACACTTCGACTAGCACGCAAATTATTAAGAAAACTCTATCAAGTCACGCACATGAATCATTAACGATAAGAATAAAATAAGACTCGATGCAGATATCGATTCATTCGCGGAACTGTTATTGCTTCTACTCGTGTCAGGAGTGTGTAAACATAATCAAGTACATACTGAAACATCGATGGGGAAAACAACAAGATTTTCAAGTGTATATTTCATTTTAAAAGTATTAATGCAGTTTTCAAAAATAGAATTTAAAGTATCGAAACAGTGTTATAGGATATAATACGTTCTTGTAAAAGAGTAAAAGATTCTCCTTTAACATTGATACGATTAACATTAAAAAATACTTTTATTTCGTTCTAACATATAAACAAAACATCGTTACTTAGAATTAAGTTAAATCACTGTCGCAACCTTCTGAAATTAAGTTCCAATTGCATTGTTTTTTCGATGCTGGTTGCGTATCTGAAACAATGTCATCCTGCGTCATAGTATCGATCAAGATTTCAGGTATCAAAAGTTGCTCTTCGTTCGCCTCCAATTCCTTTTGGATTTCAAAATACGGAGCTAGACACTCGTGCAATCGTTTTTTAAATTCGACGGAGCGCTCTATAGAGGGATCGTTCGCTGTAAAATGCGTTTCCAGTTTCCTGGCTAATTCTAATCCCTCGTTGAGACTCTTCAACGTGAAATTCTTCTCCTCGTCGAACGTTTCTTCGGAGCTCTCGCAATCGTTGCTCGTAACACTCGATACAGATTCGTCCGCTAGTTGCACCAGTTCTTCCTCGTCCAGTTCTTGATCGTTGTCGATCAATTCGTAAATATCCGAGTCGCTCATGTCATCGAAGCCTTCTCCGCCTAAACGTCGAGCAACATTTATTATACGACCGATCTCCGCGGCTACGGGAATCGAATAACTTTCTCTGTTGACCACTTGGGGCCAGATACGTTTCCAGCAAGCATTCAAAGTCGAAGATTGCAATTCCTCGAGAGACGAGGAGAGAATTTCCACGCAATCAGAGATCGAAAATTCCTCCCACAGCTGTATGGCCGTCATACTCGGATCGTAATCCATTTTGTTCAAAATGAATTCGATTGTCCGTCGTATGTAATACAATTTTAATGTTTTTATGATACCCTGATCCAGGGGCTGGATGATCGAGGCCGTGTTCAACGGCAAAAAGATCACCTTAACGTTCGGATGGCTCAAATCCCTCGGATGACCTGGCGCGTTATCGACGATCAATAAAACCTTGAAACCGATATTTTTTTTGCTGGTGTAAGTCTCGATCTCCGGCACGAAACAGTTGAGAAACCAATCGTGAAACAGGCCGGCCGTGATCCATGCTTTTCTGTTCGTTCGCCAATGAACAGGCAGCTCGAACTTCTCCAGTCCTCTCGTTTCACGGGAATTTAAAGAGCGATTAATTAACATGGGCTTCGTTACGTAATCCCCGGACGCGTTGCTGCACAAAAGCAGCGTTATTCTGTCCTTGGCGGCCTCCGACTCGGAAACGGATCTCTCGTTTTTCGATATGTAAGTACGCTGGGGCATTTTCTTCCAATACAAACCGGTTTCGTTCGCGTTGAACACCTGATCGGCCGTGTACCCACCCTCCTCTATGATTCGAACAAGTTCCTCCGGAAATTTCTGCGCCGCCTCCACGTCCGCCGACGCTCGTTCCCCGTGAATTTTCCGATTGTGCAAGGAAAATCGATTCTTGAACCGCTCGAACCAGCCTTTGCTGGCGCTGAACTCGAATTTAGGCTGTTCGTCGGCCGTGACGCGTTCATGCTCCTTCAAATGCGTGTAAATCTTCAACGCTTTACGTTTTATCGCGTCCTTGTTCACGGGCATGTTCTTCTGATTGCAATCCTCTATCCATATCATCAAACAATTCTCCATCCTCGGCATCAACGTGTCCTTTATGCGAACGACTCTGTTCAAACTCACCGACGATCCGATGGACGCCATTGCTCTGATCTTGTTCTCGTTACGTTTGATCGTTCGAACGGTCGATTCGTTCAAATTCAACCTCTTCGCGATGGCTGGCAATTTCTCCCCGTACTTTAACCGATCCAAAATTCTCATCTTCTCCTCCAGCGATATAAACTTTCTGTTCAACTTGGGTTTCCTTCTCACCTCCGCGGACATGGCTGAGGAGAAAGCTTCTTTCACAAAAAACGAAGGTTTTACTTAATTTAATCGACTTATTTTTTCGCGAAACATGCCTAGAAACAAATGAAACCGCTGGACTACTATAAACGCCCATATAACGCGTTATACGAGACTTGTGGAACTCGTACCAACTAACTTGGTTAGGCTATGAAGAAAGAAAGCACAGAAAAGCCTAATAATGGACCTACATTCGTGTTTATTTATCAAAACCACAATTTTTTACTGCATAATTCAATGATCGCCATCCCGATATTTCGTATATTATATAATTACATTTCTCACATTTATATCAACGAAAACAACGAAAAACATATTTATATAACCTCTATATCGTTGAAGGTTGGCGACCACTGCTCTAACCTATATAAAATTCATGCGACGTATCTCGAGCAGAAATGGGCAAAATTTTATTCGAACTTTATACTATATAAACTTTATTTGTTTAACGAGTAAAAGATTGTACGAAACATTCGTTTGAATAAGAATTCTGCCCACCTCGTATCTCGAGACACGACCGGAAACGTGACAGGGACGATTACTTGGTCGTTGGTGAGATGACAGCGGAGCATAATTGATAAATACACTAAACTCGCGAACAGGCGTAAGACTACGTGACAACGTGTAAGAAATAATGTAAAGGTTACGCGGTTCATAATTCAAACGGCCGACATGAGAACGTGTTTGAAAAAGTCACACCTGCGATGAGTATTGTCGTAGGTAGCAGTCCAGTAGAGGGGCGCCACTGTCCCACGTTACTGCTACACAGTCGCATGCAAGAACCGACTCGGAAATTGGCTCTTCTCTCGCGAACGGAAACTTCAATTATTCTAGATATCCTATATCCTCGTCCCGTTTCTCATTTTGCGCAGCATCGAGGACCTTGGCGGTTGTCTTTCGAAATAACGACCACCCGGCGAAGCTCGATCGGTCAATAAGGTCGCAGCATCGTTCTCGGGGGGGATCAATTAAATTTTCGATCGTCGTTGCTCGAACGGTTCCGTTCCGCTAACGGTCGTCTTCCTCCTGGTGGTCGATAAACGAACGATCGATATACAAATACGGTGCACTTTCAAACGTTCTCTCGTACGTTTACCACGAAGCACCGATTTCTCTCGAATATTTCGTGACACGGGGAGAGGCTTCGATCACCTCTCGCGAAACGTGGCGGAGTCGAGTATAACGTGAACGATGTGCGTATCTCGCAACGTTCAGCGCACCGAAAATACGGCAATGCGGTGCGTGGAAGCGTGCTGCAGTCCGCGCTCATGCAAACTCCTCGCCAGTCGACGACACTTCCGCGGATGTACACCAATGGTACAGCGCCGTTGGATGTACGGCGAACGCACACTCAGCTGTTTCGGCGCGTCTGCGCCAGTCCTGCCAGCTATTGACCGAATACCACGCTCCTCGTGTACAAAGCACCGTGTCTGTAACGCGCGTGCACGGACGTGTCCATGGACACCACACTCGTCGGATCGCATCGCAACACCCGGTATCACGGAGACGACCGACAGAGGGATCACTGTGCCGGTCAGCTGATCGCGAATGTTGTTTCACGGACTAGCCCAATCCCTCCCTCTCTCTCTAGCAACCATAAACCACGCTACGACGGAGGAAACAGAGCGATACACGTGCGCAGTCTCGCGCCGCCTATATGTTTACACTGAACGTTTAATTGCCCTATGGGCTAGAGAAATAAAAATAACTTCCTCGTTAAGGGACTACCGGCACACACAACGACCGGCAGTGACGTAACACCCCGAGCACTGCGCCTCTGATCAACGAAATTTCGCGCCAGGTGCATGCAATGATACAATGATACATTCATCGTCTAATATGCTGTTTCTAATTTCTAATTATTTAGTTCGTTCATTTAATGATCGAGGCAGGGCAAAAGGACGAGGTTTGGTAAATAATGCTGTTTTATAACCTAACTCTACGAACGAGCTACGGAATCTTCCACGATCGAATGAGATTCTCTTGGTAACCTTGAGTCAAGATAAATTCCGAGCGAAAAGTTTATTTATTGTTAGTTTTCACCGTACTCGTATTTTAACACGCGGATTTAAATAGTGCACACTGGACGTTTAATTCGACTGCGTTTACACGTCTTTGTTATGAAATATACGAGTATCCGAAATTTTTTCGGAAGACATGGAAAAATATGCTACGAGTTTCTTTAATGTATTGTTTGATTTAATGAAAGAAATGTTTTTTCCTCTCTACTATTAATGTCTACTAAACAAATATGTCTTGCACGATATAATTTTAAGATTCTGATTTCACTCAATCCGACACTAAATATACCGAACGAACGAACCTAACCTTAATTCCGCTGTTTTCAAGGTACACAAATGTTTACAGAGCTGCACGGGCTTTCGATACGCGCATTATTTCGGTTCGATATACCTTCTACAGCCGTGTGATATGAATTTTATAGAGCGTTTGATACGAACGGAAGTGCATGAATTCGATGCAAATTAGCTCACTGAAATTTAACGGATCTCCAAAATGACGTATGGAAACACAGAACGTCACACTTCTAGCTAACTGGTAAGCTAGCTATCCACGGTAAATTTCTTAGAAGATTTCACTTAACGACGGAGTATTCTCTCGCGTAATATCATCCTGATTAAACACACCTCTCTGTCATGGAAAACTGCAGCGCACCAGCTTCTTCTCGAAATGATGTGCGCAGTGTTACGGATTCAACGGAGAACCATCGATAACGCTGCTCCGGAATAATCGTTATCCTCGCGAGGATATGGTATACGGATCGTCACGAACACGGACGCGACAGATCGGAGAAGACTTACGTGGGCATCGACACGGCCGGGCAGCCGAGTTGCAGGAGGTTCCTGGCGAGGTATTCCGGCGCAGGTGCGTCGATCGCAGGTACGGACCGCCTGCCGGGTCGAACTGCCGTGTCATCGGATTTATCCGCCGACCACGTAACTGGCGATGATGATTTTCTATCGTACGACGATACATGCAATCGATTACGATCGACGTCACTGGCATCGGAAGACCTGGGTATCCTCAAGGAACCGCTACGTCGCAGTTGCGTACCCAATTCGCTATCTGAAATTACAAAAACCCCAATGAAGTCCCCATCGAACAGTTGTAACCAACAATGGCCTCGATACAGATACATTCGATATCAAAGTTTTAGTAACAAACATTGATATTTATCAAAATTTTAGGCTAAGTAGAACCTAGACCTCTGTTATCTGAACTGAGTTCGTGGCTACTATTGAGTAAGCCGAGTAAGTGTATTAAAAAAAATTATTAATAATCTACACGCCTGAAAGAAGTTTTATTGTACTCCTACTTAACGTCTATTCTAAATTGCAGATTGAAAATGTGTTCCGTGGAAAAGAACCACAATCGAAACATTAAAAATACGAAAATATACATTTATAAATAACGCTGTTTTACTTCGCGTAGTCGATAATTTACGACGCAGATGTCTTGAGCGTTTGCTCATTAATTGGAAGTGGTCAACTTATATAACCAAAACGTATAATAAAGGTATCTGTTTTTGCAACAAAATTTTACCAATTATTTCTGTAAAAAAAAAATAATATTTTCGTTTCGTGGTATAGATCGGTATTAAGACGATTTCAGTGTTTCGTCACCTGAGTAATGTCCACGTCTCATCACGATCGGAAGCGCATGTCTTATTCCGCGTTACTATTGTAATAAACGACGAAACAAACAGCTCGAGGCGAGAAGTTACGCGAACGGATGGTCTGTTGAATGAATAGCGACTGATGTTTAAGAAACAGGTGTGGTAATGTTGGGGAAGAAGCGATTCTAGCCTATTCCTGGCGGGTAGTGTTTTAATTCGTTTAAAACCCTCTTGCATCACGTCAACCTTAGTATTAGTATACTATGTCTTCGGTTTCCCGTGAGTTACGTGAAAGTATTAAAGGCATGCTTCTGTAATCAAATCAACGCTTACGATTCTCGCTCGTATCGGATCAGGCTTACCTCGTATCTGATAAATACGCAATGTCATGTTACGGAAAAACGATTTTCTACGGGAAATTTAATCGACGGTCCGCGAAAGATATTTCACGATACGACGTCTCGTTGTACGATAAATTCGATGACCAGTTAAATAAAACGAGTTTAATAATTTTCAGTGTTTCCGTACGAAGTTTGATAAAATGCAAAAAAACGTGGCCAATATTCGTGAGACGACCTCGCTGGCAACTACGTAACAACTGAAAACTCTCGAGCATCTCGCAAGGTGCAAGGGCAGCCACGTTTTTGGCATAAGTCCGCGCATCCCTGCCGGCACTACTGCATTTCTCTGAATATTTGCGACACGTATGTCGCCTCCTCGTGGTTCCCACCTGATTCAGAGCTATTTCCGACATTGCACATGTCCAGGGAGATTCCGTGATGAAATAATACATGGAATTCGTTGGAATGGGAACAAACGATGATCCGAGTCCGCGGCAGAGTCGCATTACGTGTCAGTAAATACTCTATGCGTCTTGCGCAAGTTGCGTCATGCGCCAAAGTTCAGGTAGAATGAAAGGTGAAAGGACCAGAACGAAAGACCCAATTACCAGACGCATAGCGACGATAAGATTTTTAAGCTTCTAAATTTTTCTGGATTAATCCTAATTTATCGTGCAATATTTTAAGCCACCAAATTGATCATCTATCATTTTTACAGCTCTATAATACGTTGAGATGTAAACTCGTAACCTTCTTGGCGAGTATGAACGAGCACGTATGCAGTCACTTAATACTAATTGAGATCAGAATAGCGGACATACGGATAAAAGTAACTTAAACGTACTATCGGTCAAGCTCCAGCGATATCATGGTTGTCGCGAGTATTGTACAGGGGAGTATTTACTAAAACTTCGTAGCTAAAATTATTCGATATAAAATTGAATTTCTGATGAAATTTTAACAAAGTATATAAAAGAAATCAATAATTAGAGCTTTGATAAATTAAATTAAATTAATATCTGTTCCTTGTTATTTAGTTATTTGATAAAAATGATATTCGATGACTGAATATTAAAGAGTTCGTTGCTTTATCATTTTATTGGTAACACTTGTTAAAAGAGAAGATGTTTCGTACTACGTCTCGCCTACGAACGAACGCTAATGTACGAGGTAAACGAATAGTTCCTGTTTGTGGAGTACTATAGCCACATGGATGCCAATCACCGTGAGGTTAAAGTTCGTTCCACAACAATACAGTCTATATCGAGCCAGCACATACTATGTACTTCGTATGTACCCATACATCATCTTTCGAGACATCGTATCTTTATTTTGCTAAGTCTCGATATTTTAATAATTACTAAATACAATATTCAACGTTCATCCTCAATTAAAATGACGAGATTGCTATTAACTGCAACGTGGAACGCCTTACACGAATTACTTTCACGATATCTAAAGCGTTTAGCTCAGAGAATCACGCATGAGGTCATCACGATGGTTTCCTAGATATAATCGTATCTAAAGCTACATAATATTCCGAGTAACTATTTCTGTTTAATTCACCTACGCGAAAAGGCACAGTCCTATGTTGAAGATTTAAGCTTCCGATCAACGTATACGCACCTACTTGTAGCATCACCTATAAATATACACGCGATGCATGTAAATACATCGATATAAAATAATAGTTATTATCTTACTAGCAGTAAGAATGATACGTCTTTACTTTGCTTATTTACTTACTTAGATCCACTATATTTCGATCTATTTGATATTAATTTTATCGCATTTCGATCTATTTAAATATAATTACCAAATTAAAATATACTCGTTGACGTAATACTATAAAAAGTTTGATCGAGGCGCCCAAAGCAATACTTACAGTCGGTAACTAATGCATACATAGTACAAAAAATCTAAAATAAAAATTCACGCTATTATAAGGCTTGTTTGCTATTTTGTTTACCAACAAAATATTAAGTCAATTTAATATACCTGTTATATTTTATAGATAGTTTTGTAAAATTGTATTTTGTCTTTCATTACGTTTTCGTGTAAACGACTTTAATTAATATCATTTTTTAATCGATAAACAATTTAATACCAATAGGATTAACAGTCTGCAATATACAGGGGGTTCATATCAATTTTTTGACTGAGGCTATATATTCTAAATAAGTAAACATTTATAGAAAAATGATGTAACAATAACAGAATAGAATTCGTCTCACCGTTTCTTTGAACAAGCTGCATCTCATCTGCGCACGAATAATCTTCAAAGTTGTCCTCGGTCGCGGGTTCGTTTTCAGACGCCATTAGGCCCACTTCCGGTAACGTAACGGACAAGGGAAAAGTTTGTCCGTCCCCCGCTGCTGCACACCTCGTCAGTGCTACCTCTTGGACGCGTCTTGCATGTGGAATTTCTGAGGATGCCTTATCGATCGTCTCGTTGCACCTCATGGCAGAATCAAACCGATCGACCAATGAAAATAATAGAGAACAGTCACGTGCGAGTTTCGACAATGTATTTAAAAGTAATACCCGTCACATTACCCACTCTTTCGCGATTCCTGTCGCCTCGAGTCGCGTCAGCGTGCACGTTCGCGTTCTTGAAAACTATCGATCGAACGAACGGTCGGTGAATGAAATCTTTTGATTATCGACCGGCCGGAATCGTTCCACGCGAGTCAACAATCCACACAGATACTTTCACCGGAACGTCTCGAACGAATCGAAGAACACAATGTTTGTTGTTGAACTCGTCGCGATTACGTTACAAATATCTCTTGATATTTTGGTCAATGGTCACGGTACATTCCGATAGAAACGGAATTTATGTTAAAAGATACACGAAGTTTCGTTTACGAGGCGAAAAGGTTTTAAATTTATCATTATGCTATTGTCTGCGTTAACATTGATTCCGGGATTTGAAGGGCGTTGGAAGATTAAGTCGCATCAAGGACGAGTTTAAACGTGGAAATGTGAATACATGCGTATCGATATCTTATGCAACAAAAAAATTTACGGCAGGGTTCACTGAACTTTATTAACATGTAACAATGAAACCGAAATAGGAATTGTTTGACGGTCGCACGCGCCTAACGACCGTTCCCGGTAGACTGTGATAGTACAGTCAAAAGTCTAAAAGTTTATTTTTGGTCAGATTGTCGCGCCAAAGGGGGAACAACGTGGCCAATGTTGTATGTATATGTAATTGCGTCAAAAACGATTGGCCTGGGCAATTTGTATGTAAACGCGGTCCGCTCGCAGACCCCAACTGTTCTAAAGGTGACTAAAAACACATGATTACAAAACTAACATTTTTTTTTTTTTTCTTTCATATTTTATCATTGTTCGACTATACATATTTGTCTCGCGATAATACTTCCCTATAGCCTCAAAAGACACTTTTTTCTTTTGTATCACGCAATTGTACTAATTCTCTTTGAACATCGGTCAGCGTTTAGAAAATCAAACGCTAACCGACGACCATTTTCCTCGATTAATTACGCAATATCGCGTTCAAACATTCTTCAAACGATACACGGTAAACTTTTCAAAAATAAGTATCAATACTCGTTCCATTTCAACTACATCGTACATTATATCTTAATTATTAAAACGGGCGCTATTATTTATGCGCAGAGGGGGAGGAGGGGTGGCTTTCGCCGCGCGAATGGGTCCGACGAAAGAGCGCTATCGAGATACAATTCACGGGTAGTATACGATTAGAAATAACATCTGCGTGGAATACAGAGTAAGAGTTATTGCGTAATTTTTGTTTACGGTGGCACTCGATCTATGCCCGGTACGAATATAATTATAGAGCTTGATACGCGCGCATCATCTTTTATTTAAAAGTACAATTTTCAACGACTAATAGGATCACGACCTGATCTCGAATCCGATACTCCGTAGAAACTTGAAGAACCTCTCGACGAGCATCTTTTCGTGCTGATCTCGTTTCGCCGCGAGATCGGCGATCTTCCGTGTACGCGTGCGGAACGCTTCCACGAGCAAATCGTGGCAAAACGTCACGTCGTCGTCCGTCGCCACTAACAACTTTACCTGAACATCTTTCGTTTCGATCGACTTTTCGTCACGGTCGTCCCTGCGGTAGGAATGCTTTACGTACAATGCGATAAAACGCACGAGAAGATACGCGAGGAACCTACGGTGACACCAGAGGGCCTCGTAATCGTTGTACGTGTAAATGGTGCTCTCGTTCACGCGACATTCCTCCGCCCAATAGGAGAAAGCGCAGAAGTACGTTTGCGGTTCCGTTCTCGACGAGGCTGGCCTGAATTCCGTGCGCATCGTTTCGAACAACCTTTGCAACTTGTGCCTGTCACCCGCCGCACTGACGTTTGATTTAACGTACGCGTACAATTCGTCCTTGCATTGCTCCTCGTCCTCCGGACACTTTATCAACGAATCTCTCGGCAGTTCTTTGAACTCGAACATGTATCTCTGCAATAAGAACTGTCGATAGGAAAGCCCGCTGTAATCGGACACGTGTCGTTGACACCAAGCAAGAGAATTCTTCCACTCGCTTTCGAGCGTCGGATAAGTGAATCCTCGCGACTCGCGTAAAGCCATCACGTGACGCCTGTGACTCCACGCGTCGTAGTTATTCCCGTACCTGTCCGCGCAGGTAGCCGCGACGTTCAATTCTGTGCAGAGCGGCGATTCCGTCAGGTCGGGATCGTAACGGCTGTCTTTTCCGTTCAACACGTACGACAGTAACCATCGTCGATAAGCGAACGCCTCGAAACATTTTGGCTTATGGTAAAGCACCAACCGCGAGAAAGCGAACTCCTCTGACGCTTCTAGCTTCTGACTCCTCACTAGCTCCCGTCTCATGTTCCAAAACGTCGTCACTTCTGGATTTAACAAAAGAGCGCCCAGCAACCATCTTGCTATCGTACTGGGCTCCTCTCGTCTGTGTTTGTTCTGGCGTAGTTCAAAAAGCCGACGATGGGCATAACAGTATAGCGGTTGCACGCACCATGACGCCAATCCAAGACTGTCTTCCTGATGATACACCGGTGATTTATTTTCGTTATCCTCCGCGGGAATTATTTCGAAACTTTTCCTGAAATTGCACACAGATACATTTCTTCTAAATCTACACTATCAGTAATTTTAAATAATAATATACAATTCGTTTTAATTGTACCATCAGAAGCTATAATTTTAAGTAAAATAAATAATATAAATTACGTTAGTAAATAAATATATAAATATACGAATTACATAACGTAAAGACTGTATACAAAATGCTATAAAAATGACATTCACTAGGAGACACGAATAACGTTGTTCTTAGTTTCTATTATATTTTTGTATAAAAATTAAATATTAATATTTTATAATGTATTGGTTGTAAAAGCAACTTTAACTTTAGTAATACGCAGAGACGTAAGTACGCTAATCGTAATTATTAAGATTTAATAATCGTGATGGCGCCAGTTTCCTACTGTAGACATTTGATACCAACATTGCTGATACTGTATTTACTATGCAAACCTTTCGCGAAGCGTCATATGTACGCGTGTCTGATTAAAACGTACAGCGACTGTATATTATGAAAAGAAAAGCACACTAACCGTAATGTTGTATTGTCTATGCAACGTATACACCGATGCATCGAATCTAAGAATTTAGTGTCACATTTCACAGATATTTTTAAAGACTCCGCCCTCGTAATGTATCTAAGAAAACACTCACAGTGACGGATTCTTCTTCACCACATTTTCGATGTCGGAAAGGATTTTCTCTGCCGCCGGGAAAATATCGTCTTGCATTGTAATCTTCCCACTACCGTTCGTTACATGTCTCGGGGAATCAAGTGTAAACCAATACACAATTAACCCTTCTGTTTCTCTTGCTGCACCTTTCAATGCAGGCACGATGTAGCGTTTTTCTGCGGAAGTGTTGGGGGATATACTGCGATGCCGTTTGAAGTTTCCTGCAAGTCTCGAACGTTCGAAATCAGATGGCGCGAAATTATTAACACCGAACTGCGTTAACGGAAAACAGATTTTTATGCAAATATTCTTTTAAACGAATCTATGAATATTATATCAACAAATCTCACTGCCATTTAACGAAAAATATTATCGTTCATAATTCTTTACGTAAATATTAATAGATTTGTAACTATGATTCGTACAATTGTTATATTTTCATTTGATGCGTTAAAATAATAATTGTTAATATTATAAATAGATACTGTTTGAAATAAAAAGATATTTCTCTAACAATATGATAAAAAAAATAAATCCCCCGGAAAAATATTTATTACGAAAAAACTTCAAATTGTCCACGTACCTTATATATTACAAATTTTTATCTTTTTTTGATGGAAAATTTGTTTTTTATCTCAATTTCCCGATAACATTAAGTATAAAATGAATGTTCGATGGTCTTTACGAGTATCATAAATATAAAAGCATAGTCTAATGGTGTACGAGTCTCCGGCTATAAATCGGTATAACCTATAATTCGTTTCCCTAAAATTCGTTATACTCATCTTACCTTATAAGGAGAAACTCGTCTAATCAGTGAATACTTCATTTTCTGCTGACGAGGTAAAATATTTCAATCAAAACAATGTCCGACCCCCGCATAAGAATTCTAAAAATTAAAACTGGAGTAGTGAAACGTCTCGCGAAAGAAAAAGTCACGTATGAGAAAGAAGCGGCACAGCAACGTGAAAGGATACAAAAATTGAAGGATCAGGGTGAGAACATTTTGAAAAATGCAATTAGAAGCATGTTGCACTTCTCGTTAATTTGATCCTTTCAATAGCTGTGTTATTTATTTAAACGATTCCGTATATTTTTTTATACCTTTAACTACTACTTTTTTAAGTGTTTCTTCGATCGAAAAATTACTACGTCGCTATAAAAGATTTATAATTATCCAAGTGAACTTCAAAAACCGTACTTTTCATAATAGTTTTAATTATTTTATAGACAAAGATGGTTACGACATAAAGAAACAAGAAGAAGTACTTCAAGAATCTCTCATGATGGTGCCAGATTGTCAACGACGTCTTGTTAAAGCATTCGCAGAGTTAAAGGGTATATTAGAAACGGAACAAGATTTAAAAGAAGTCGAAGACTACATCGAAGCGGAGAAAGTTTTACGAGAAGCAGAAACTCAACTTCCCAGAGAGGGAGAAATTATGGAGATGTGTTAAAAAACAAAGCCTAATAATCCTATTAAGATATTGCCAAAAGTTACAAAAGAACTATATTTTCATCTAACACACTTTGTAAACACATTAAAATAATCATTTAACCTATACAAAAAGCGATAGTTTTAAGGCATTTCATATTTTATGTAATTAAATATTACTTCCACGCTATTATGTTTAACGATCAAAGTTTTTTAGAGGGTTTTTTTAGAGAGGACCCACGTTATAACATGTATCGCACGATGAATCAACCTATCTATAACACAAATTACAATATGAATGTACATCAAAATTATATTTATCCAATCTGTAGTACTTCTGATAATGTTAGCAATAATACACCAATAGTTACGGTAGAAACACGGCAGATCGACGAAAAGAATATTCAAAGTTTTCTTCTAGAAGTTGATCAGTCCAATAACGCAATTATTCAGAAAAACGTATGTAAAAGATCTAAAATTGCAGCTGCCAAAAATGCCATTGCATCTGCACATAAATTAAACGAGAAACTGAAAACAATTTGTGCAGAGCTGAAAGATAATAGAAATTTTACAGACGAGGAATGGCAACAGAAGATGTGCATCTGCAATGCAGCAAAAAATGAAATTGTTACATTATTGAATCCTATTAAAGATTCGAAGTTTTTAAATCAGTTGAAAAAGGATTTAGAAAGACGACGGAAAAAGAGATTACGCGAAAAAATTAAACGAGAGACATGGAAAAATGAAAAATTAATAAAGATAAAACAAAGAGCTAGAATACATGCACAAATTGATTCGTGGATTAGAAAGAAACAAGCTGTAATAGAAAAAGAAAAACAGGAGGAAAATTTACGTAAAGATGCTGACATGGTTCTGTCCGATGTTAGAGGAAAGCGTAGCGATGCAAGGAAATATCTTGGATTGTTACAAGAATTACGAAATCTGCATAATATTAAAGCCAATATTGCCATAGCAAGGGGAGAACATTTATCTTCGGCGGCCGACGAAGCATTTAATAATATCATAGGTATTATTATGATTTCATTTGTAGTAATCATTTCATTTCATTTATTGAAATTTGATTAACATTTCTTTATTTTAAATTTTAATCTGAACACTACTCGACTCGGTTTCTACAAGACTCAACTATCCGTCCAAATATTTAAATAATTAAATTAATAGAAATACTTCTTATGTGTAGCAAAGTTAACAGAACAATGGTCTACTCTTGATTCTGAGTATTCTATAGAAGAACAAGGTTTGAAATTAATGTTAAAGACTGATAATGAAAAGAGAATCGAAAAACAAAAGAAAAGTCTGTTCGATGATTGGGAAAATGTACTATTTGGAAAAAAACTATCAGTGTCTGATCAATACAATACAGACTTGACTACTTTTATTACTATACGGTAAAAATAGTTCTACAATTAAATGATACCCAATTGTTATACGATTTAAGCTTTACGAAAATAAAATAATTTTTTTTTTAGGTCTGCTTGGGATAAGTATATAAGTTCAGATATCGATGCATCAGCTATTCCAATTGGATGGGTAATGCCTGATAAACCATCTTCAGCTGCCTGGCAAAAATGTCTCAAAAAAGACGTTTCATAAAACATACTTCTACATAATTATAAATTCCAGTTTATAAATGCGTAAAATTTGATATACACCCTAATAATTTATATTGTATAAACATAAATAGTATGTAATGTAATTTTAAAAAAGCAAATAACTTGTTTAGTTTACTATATCTTAAACATTTATATTCATCTTTTTTAATCGTTTTATAATTTAAATGATTTTGTAACTAGAAGCATTTCACGTATATTTCATTTTATTAAAATTATATATAAAAAGTATGTACAGATTTTTCTATGAAACTTGACAAATCAATATAAACGTTATGTTTATGCTATACTTAATATTAGATTCTTTTGAGCAGCACTCGAGGGTTCTAAAACCTGAGAATCTTTGACTGGTGTTGGATGTACAGTTTCTGCAGCAGATAGTATCATGTGTAACTTTCCTTGCAATTCTGACAATGCTAATATTAAATTTTCTTCTTCTTCCAATTTCGATGCTAATATCGTAAACATTTTTCGTGGTTCTGCTGCAAGTTCATCCAAATGATCTTCATAGACGTCTGTTAAGAAGTAATAATCAAAAATTAAGTTTCAGTCCCGAACGTCGGCCAATATCTAAGGCATTACTATATAGAGTTTACAACATACCCATTAAAACATTAGCAACATGTAATAATACTCTTCCAAATCGAACACTTCCTATATGCTTGTTCAAAAATTTAAGAATATTTACAAGAGACTTTCCATTTCTACCGCTAAGGGCTTGTTTTAAACCTTGTCTTCTGATAAGTTCCTGCATGAGTGCAACCGTAACGTGCGGTGTTTTATTCACAACATAATTCGCCATTACACAGTCCAATGCTTTGGAGTATTGAAACTTTCTTAAATAGGTATCGTGTTTGGCCATAATTTCTTTCATTTCTTCGTGCACCACCATATCTACGTGCGGTGCGTGCAAATTTTTACCGGAATGTCTATACGATACTTTTTTACGCTGGGGCTTTTCATTTTTAACATCTTCTTCTCGTCTTCTCACAGAAATTAAGCCATCCACCATACCAGCTACAATAGTTTCATCGTTCGACTGAAATTACAAACCTCTTTTCAATGATTCAAAAGTGTTAGTTGATATTAGAAAATACAAATATTGTCTTACACTGATCCCTATGCTTAGAACTGAATTTGGATAATCTAAAGAATGGACAGTTTTGTATGTTCCAGAATCATAAATTTTGACATGTCTATCCAATGAACCGGACAAAATTCTGTGACCATTTGAAGCTATTTTTAGGCAAGTTACAGTTTTATGATGTTGGGTGATCTTTGCAAGCAATCTGCCACCAGCAAGTGCATCCCATACTCTAATTTCAGTTCCACCTTTAAAGATATATAATTATAATCGAATATTTTTATTATTTTAGGTATATTCAAGATCCCATCTTATTTCTGTACCTGCAGATAAAAATATTCCACCGGATGGCAAGAATAACAAACTTTCAACAGGAGCTTCATGGTTTACATTAAGAATTTTTGTGTTTGTTCTTGTATCATACATATATATGTGTTTGTCATAACCTCCAGACAACAGTATGTCTTTGGAGATTGGACTAACTGCACCAGCTCTGATATAATCAGAATGTTCGTTAAAAGATATAGTTTGCTTTTCAGTAGGTATATCCCAAACTATGACAGTTTTGTCGTCAGAGAAAGATGCAATGTGATGATTATCTGCAGTAAAAAGTGTTCTATGCACGGATGCTTTGTGTCCAGAAAACAGCCGTAGAAGGCTTTTTGTGTTAACATCAAAAAGTCTGACGACCGCTTCTTCTCCACCAGCACAAAGTAATTTTCCATCGTTGCGGAAGGAGCCTCCATAAGCAGCTTCCTTAAATCTACTAAGGTTTTTTGTGACTAGCTTTGTAATTGGATTGTACACTTGTACTCTTACTGAACAAGTAACAGCAAAATAATGCGGTTCCACGGGTGAAAAATCTATGTAATCAATCGGTCCGAATTCCTTAACCAAGACCGGAGTCTGTAAAACATTTTCATAAATAATAAAGTAATATTTTTCTGTTATAAATACCATTTAATACGACACAGATCAGTACTGATCCTCGTATCAAATGGTATTTATTAGGTTAAGTGATTCGAGTGCATCATGAATTAATCGATATATTACGATCGCAGAAGATTTGTTATTATTTCATCTGTAACAACTTACTCACAGTATACTTTTTCCAGTATATATTATCAGGAGTTAATTCAGATCCTGATCTTGCAAATACTTTAGTATTTATCTTCTTAAAGGATGCCATTTCTTTAAAAATGTCAGCTGTAATAAAACCTAGTAGAGGGAGTAAACTTCTCTTGTTGACAATTGATGGAAGTTGTTGCCATTGATTTCTGTAATTAATCAAGAATAAATTTATTTTTTTGTGATCATTGAACAAAGAAACTCTCGAAAACTATTTTACGAAGCAGCAAGGCAACATGTTTTTGATGATTCAGTATACTTTGTTACATTTTATATGGTTTTGCTGCTCGTTTCAATATGGCGATGGTTAGTTGCCTAGTGCTTCGAAGGTCTCGTTGCTTATCATGAATTTTCTGGCTTTCCTTTCCATTTCTTTATATAATTCAGAAACGAAGCCTTGATATTCATATGATTATCCGTAAGTGCATACGAGTTATGTAATTATGAGGCTCTGCATCTGATAAACAAAGGATTTCATCTGAAAGTCGTTCCGCTTAGACAGCACGATAGATTTGGCAATTGCCGTCCTTCTAGTAAGTTTTGTTATATTTCACGAATAATCATCAAGATGTAGACGTTCACGCGTATATTTCGGAATTAACGAAACGAGAAAATGTTCCTTTATCTATGAGAATGTACAAAAAAATGTATAGTTTGATTTTATTACAGTCAGAGAGGAATTGCTGCCAAGAAATTTTCTTGTTAGTTGACTGCATACCAGCCACGTTTATAAATATTTCGCCAGACGAGATTGAAATTTCCTTTGATGGTGTTGTTGGATGCTTTAATTTTTCAATGCCGTTCAAACATTTTATCGATCATTATAATGATCGTATTACCGAATGCATATAAATAACATTTTTAAATTAATGAGTTCCTTTTGGAAGTCAAATGAACAAAGCTTAGCTTTTATTATAATGACAGGAACAAATATTTATGTTCCATCTAGATAGAAGAATTCAATTGAACATAATAATTAAGAATATATTTAATAGAATATTCTTAAGACTATATCGTTAAGAATAATCTCAATTATTATACGAACAAGAATAATTTTATTGAATTAGTAACAGAATTTTATATGCAACAACTATTGAACGTTAAGACACCTTAGTTCATAAATTATAGAAATTGGAGATAATGGCAGAAACACAAAGAATGACTGTGTATGGTAGACATCCTCCTTGTGCTAGTGGAACTCGTTTAGAGGAACGTCGTGCTAGAAGGTAAATTATCAAAAATATTAAAATAGTCGTTTATTATAAATTAAACAATTGATAATTTTTTTTTATAGATTGGCCTTAAGATTGGAAAGGAATCGTAAGCCAGATAAGCCAGAAGATTTTGTCTGTTACGAATCAAGCGACGACGAAACGGAAACTGTAAGCGAGGGAAAGCAATTTTTAAGAACTTCTTTCAATTTTGTGGATTATGTACGCGCGAGAGAAACAAACACCAGAGAAGTGCGAAAAATTAATCAAGAATATGGATTTCGACACATATTGACTCATGATTTGTTTAAAGAATATTCTGTTAGTTTAAATACTATGAATAAAGTCTTTTGCTCCCAATGGTTAAGCGATAGGCAAGTAGTATTTGGTACAAAATGCAACAAATTAATGGTTTATGACGTAGCAACACAGAAATTAGACCAAATACCATCTCTGCATGGAAGGCAAATTAATTCTGGAGGTGGTGCTATCCCTGAGCAACAGTGCGGTATACATTCTGTTCAAATTAATCCTTCAAGGTACACAAATTAGGTATCTCGTATAGTTTTGATTCTTATTATTATTTCATTATATCTATATTTATAATGTTTTACACGTATTACAGAACTCTTTTATCAACCGGGGCAAGAAGTAGTAATGAAATAGCAATATACAGGCTACCGACCCTCGATCCGGTTTGCGTAGGGGAAGGTGCCCATAGAGATTGGGTTTTCGACATGTGTTGGCTAGATGACGAGTTCCTAGTTTCTGGATCTAGAGACACTAAAATGGCTTTATGGCGTATAGATAACGATCTTGCCGAGGCACCCGACAAAGCAGATGTCCCTACACACAGGTTACACAGTACAGAATATAATTACAGTAGAACCTTGATACAGTGGATTAATTGAGCAGTGGTGTGGTGTCCATAAAAATATATATTATAAAAAAATATAATCAATTCTAATAGTACCATAAAATTCTGTCCATTAAATTGAGGTTTTATTGCAATGCTAATAACTTGTAAATCTGATGTGTTCCTTCTCTTCCCGATTAGATTGATTCAACCAGTGTGCGTCAAGGAATGCAAATCGGCACAAAAAGTACGGGCCCTTGCTTTTAATCGAACATACAAAGAAATTGCTGCGCTTACTTCGAATAGCTTTATACACATCTGGTCCGCTGAAACATTTAGACAAAAGATATCTAGAAAATTACCGGCTTGTCAAGAGAACGTTTGTCTCGCTGTACAAGATGACGGCGTTTACGCGGTTGGATGCCGATCTTATACTTTACTTTTAGACGCAAGAACTCTGCAACCAATAAAAAAAATACCGTCGCGGTATATATTTTAACCAGATGCCATTTCTATTTGTTCGATCTATAAGCTTACTAAATTCCCATATTTCTCTGCAGGTACAGTGGTTGCGGAATTCGATCAGCCAGTTTTCAAGGTTCTGTTTTAACAATTGGAACAGGTTTAGGAATGTTAATGTTTTACGATGTTAGAGCTCAAAAGTATCTTGAGTCTTCGATTAATTCTAATAGAACTGTTGTACTGAAAGTTTCAAAGGGTTACGTGGTATGTTTGAAATGTTCTCCAACTTGAATGTATAATTTTTTATAAGGGTGTGATACTTATTTGAACGGTGGTATTAGCTTCCAGATGAAGAATATATTGATGGATTCCAAAATTCGAAGTATACACCTGCTATATATACTCATTGCTATGACGGATCAGGAACACGGTTGTTCACAGCAGGTGGACCTCTTCCCGTTAATTTTTATGGTAACTATGCAGGATTATGGCAATAAAATTAATCGTAATCAAGTAAAGAATAGCATCGATTTTTATGTAAGTAATTATAAGTTGTACATTTACATGAACATTAACCGAGATTTTATCTGAAGAGGTATATATGGTGTTGTCGCTATAAAAGCAAAACCCATGCTTGGGGGAATCCTCTCGGAGCCAGCAATGCGATTAATTTAACACGCTGAGGGGTCAATAAATCTTTTATTGTTGATTTTTTATTAGGGAAAATGTTATTATCGTACTTGTCACATTTGTTTAATTAAAATGAGACTAATCAATTATTTAGTAGACAATAATATTTAATAAATTTTAAACGCGAAAAAAGATAATGCATAAAAGAGACGCAGCGTTGAGCTATGCAAATACGACATAATTTTAATCATGCTTACGCATTTATCTTTCTCTTATTAAATAAGTAAATATGATGAAATTTACAAACATTACAAATACGGTGGTAAATAGTTTTATAAAGAAAGAATCGAATTAAAAAAAACAATGAAATTGTACTAATTGTTATGAGCAATAAGGTGGCTTTTAAATTTCTTTTTTTCTCCTTCACTCGTTGTTCTTTTCTACGAACGGGTCTCAAAGGTTTCGTTTTTATCGCGACAATACTTTACACCCAATCGCATACTTCTCTAAAATGTTTTCTTCTTTCTCTTGTATTTTTATACTTCTCACATAATATCGTCTTTTACCTATTAATTTTATTTTGTACAGAATTGACTAACTACTTAGCTTGATGTTTAATCCGCAACTGTGCAAGTCATATGCATCTATTTAAATCCTGAATCTACATAAGAATAAATATTATTCTCTAACAAACTGGCAAAATTTAATATAATTTTGGAATTGTATTAGATAAAAAATATGCAACGTATTATTTAATAGTTTTGGCAAGTGTGGTACTTTTAAAAACATTCGGAAATGTGATGCTATTGATATCGAAAGTTTGATGCAGAGTACCATTCTGTGAGTAAGGCACATTTGGAAGACGCGATTTCAAGCTAAGTACGTAAAAATGTATTATTCTACTTGGACAGTAAATTAAAAAAAAATTTGATATATATATGCAGTTCAAGCGGTTTTATATTTCACGAGTAGATAAAAAAGTAGAAATTAATAATAGGAAAAATTAAGTTTTAAGGTGTATATACCTCGATTGTCTCAAAGTATAAACAAAAGAAATTACAATAATTGTATTCATTCAATCATCATTTCAATCATACGTGCAACCCCAAAGGTAATTTTCATTTTATAGTTTAATTTTACTAAGGATGCATTAGTCTATTTATAAATTAGTATAATAGAAAACAAAATTTTAATTCTATATTTAAACTATGTACTTGGTAAACAATTTTATGATTTTTACATCACCAGCTTATAAAATCTAGGTAATTTTATTAATTGTTTAACATAAAATTGTGCACTAGTACTAGCTATTATATACGAAATTTAACGAACTATTAATTGAGGATCTCTCCTAGAATATAATAAAAATAACTTTTAAAGGGAAAAGTTATTTTACAAATTGTGACCATTAATTTGAATCTTTATATTATCTGCATACAGTGTGGTTTTAAAGTGATTTTTAGATTCTGCGTTGTACATCTACAGCTGTCTAACAGAACTACAAATTTATAGAAGTAATCAACGAATAATACTGCAATGAACATTAAGTTTTATCAAATACAATTTATGAAGTTGAAATTTTAATACTGGCCTTACAATATACAATGAGTATTCGTTACCTAAACTTATTTTAGGCGAACCAATACGTATTAAATGTCTTTTAATCACATCTTTCTGTATTGCATAACGAAATGTCAACACACACGAAACTTTGGTCAATGTATGAACTATAATAATGTGTTTTGAATGTGCACGGCAACTGTTAATATTTTGTTAAATTAATAACTGAGAATATGTACAGTTTATTATTTTTCAAATATTAATTCATTTTGAGAAGCAATCTTTTATTAATATCGTCACACGCTAATTGAATATACCTATTATAAGAATTAGTTCAATGGAACGTATAAAAGTTGCAATGCAGATATTTTAAATTATAGCTGCCCAAAATTTGATCGGAATCATTAATCGTACGTTATACAACTTGTACAATGTTAAAGTATTATGAATGTAAGCTGTGTGCATTTACGATAAGGAACAATGATATACGCGACCTGTGATTGTATAAATGTGTTTGTTGTATGCAATTGAGAAAATTTGTTTCAATAAATGTAATCTTCGATATGCGAGATATTATATCGTAATGACATTAATTGCGTGCGATTATTTTTAAGTTTAATTGATCGAGTTCGTATTTGATTTAGAAAATTAAACGTGCTTGTGTTTTTCATATACTTGGCCGATCAAGTTTAGAATTACGTTTGTCACAATCACTGATCGATGCAGCAACGATGCAAATACAATTTTCAATATTTAGTGTAGGGCATTTCAATTGATCGAGAAAAATCGTTAACATGTAAACCCATACGCAACTGAATTACTAACGTTCTGATGAATATACGATAACAAAATATATTCTGTACGCTTGTATATGAACAGAATATAAATTGTTGGCATATACTCGTTAAGACATTACATAATAAGTAAAAATGTGTGTTGTATCTACAAAATTATAGAATAATAGACTGTATAAATATGTTTGTGATCGTGCATAATGAACGAATACATTGGACGCATTTCAACATTGACTATCGCATGTGGTTTTATTACGAACACTACAAAAACAAAAAAAAAAAAAGAAGAAAAGAAAAAATATTACAAAGTGTCGGTAATTCTGTTTTATAACAATTTTATGCATTTTTGGTATCATATGGAAATACATACACCTTAACAATAACTAATAAATTTAATTCGTTTGAAGTTCATTGTTCTCATACAAACCATCTTAAACAATATCGAGTAACTGTCTGCAGTACACGTTATAATATAATATCTATACTAAACGTCCTAATTTTCATGCAAAGATCGTTTAAACAAGAAAATCTAAGCATCGTATATTTTAACTCAAATAATACAATATGAAAAGTATAAATAAATAATTTTTATACTTAAATATATGTATAAGTTATATAACAATTTTGTACAATTATAATCGCTGCATCACTGTGCCAGGAAAATTCTTTTTCCATATATTATGTTCAACGTAAGAATGTTAGGAAATTCATGACAAATTATTTTAGGATGACTCGAAATATTTGTCCTTATAATTTTTAATATTCTTTTTTTGCTTTTCTTGTGAAATGTATCATGTTATATATATATTGTATTTCCTTTGTACTACGGAAGTATGTATAGTTAAGTTTGTTACACATTAGTCCCTGTGTTTGTGTTCTCATTATATCTATAGCAAAATGTTATTTCAAAAAATATTTATCGTCCATGTTAAAGATAGAGGGAAAATACATAGATTGTTTTTTGAGCATTTTTAGAGTTCAAAATTTACGTTGCGTTTGGATCGTTAGCAAAGTATTTGGTACAATTTATGTAACAGTTGATTTTGGTCAAATATATGCAACATATTCTTAAAATTAATTATTACGTGAAAATAATTTATGTATTTCCGTATTTTTATTTGATATTCCGAAATAATAAATAATCTTATACACTAAATGCTGCTTGGACAGTGAATACAGCTATGCTGGTAACATTGTAATTTTTGTGCGGTGTGTATGTGTGTGTGTGACTGCGCTAAATAATCAATGTACATAAATATACCAAATCAATGATCGAAATTGCATTTATTAATTATTCTGATCGAAGGCGTAGAAAACAAGTAAGGAGTAATGTTAAAAGAAAGGGGGGGGTTATTTCTCTCCTTACAAATAATTTATTAATGGTATATCGATACAACATTTTTTTATCTCATCGAGAATCATCACAAATAATGTGTAAAATGTGTATAATGCATACAAAACATGCGTAAATCGCGATATACTTGTAGTACACGTGATGTATATATTTAAATTTAAATCCAATTATTGAGGTTTAGCCGTGACTGTATTAGATATGTCGTGTTTATAATGTAAGTGTGTCGAAAATGTACCAAAGCGCAATTTAGGTATAAATGGAGGACCCATCTTGCCCTAGAATGCACTCGTCGATATGTTAGAGTATGTAGCTCTTAACGCGTGGAAGATTAAACCTTCAACAAGGATTTGTTTAGAGCAAATATCTCAATTAACGCGATGATAAATCAGCGGCTTTTTTTCACGCATTAATTCTGTTGATATTAACGAGTCGTTTCTAACGCCATCGCTATAAATCCATCGTCGGGCGTAAATAAGCTCATTTTTCTTTTTGGTATAGATTGACAGTTGGTATTCCTAACACGCGAGTACCGTAAATAAATATACATCAATTATACAATATATAGGTATTCTGAAAATAAATAGAGTATTTCACAATTATTGCATAAATCAGTGAGCACTACCGTAGAAATCGATTCATTCTCACGAGATATTTTTTTTTTTATTTCTGAATCGTCTCCTCGTATAAAAAACATATTTTATCGTTATGTTTTTTTTTTTTTTTTTGACAGGCAATCATAAGTAACTGCACCATGATTTCGTTCTTTAAATTATTATCGGGGCAAAAATATCCCCCTTATCTTCCCTTAATTCTAATAACATATTTAGCAAGTCTGTGAGTTTCATCGATGCGTTTCACTGTGATCACGAGAACGAGGTTACGTTAACAAAAGAAACAAAAAATCAAAGATGCCCAACGTCTAAGGCCTTATTGATATCACTAACTAGCATTCCTAGAATAGGTCTGTGCTCAGAGTCTTGTCTGAACACGGAATCCAGAAAGTCGGAATGCGTTAAAAAATCGAACACCTGATCACACCGGTCCTGAGATTTGTCCGTGAGATGCGGTTTTATGAGCGTCTGTATCGCGGTTCTACAACGTTCCAGCGACTTGATCAAATACGCTTTATCAAAACTGAACTCTAATTCGTAAAAGGAAACTACGGACATCGCTACAGCTCTGAGAGCATTCCTTATTTCGATAAGCTTTGCATCGTCGGTGACGTTTAATTGCTGGTTACGTTGTAGAAGTCCTACCTGGAAAAAAAGCATTTATGATAACTGTGATTACAGGGAGGGAAAACAATTAGTCGATTGGATTTAAGGCTCGGTTCAGCGCCGTCTACGAGTGGAGCCCCACCGTGCGTTGCTTTCATCCCCTCCACGCGCCAAATCATCACGTTTGTGTGGTGTACTCACACACAACACAGCATCAAGTTAACATTCCTGTATCATGCTGACAGAGAGAGGCAGTGTCAGGGAGTTTCCTATACCCCGAAGCAAGTGTTGAACAGCACTGCTCGCTCTGGCCTAGTCTTATGCTCTCAGAGATGCGCAGAATTTTATTTAAATAATAGGCGATGAACAAATATTCCTGATTTATTCACAATGTTTGTTAAATCGAACTATTATTATTCAGATAAGAATTTTGCCCATCTCTGGTACGTTGTTCATAGTAAACTCAGTAGCTTCCCCTACTGCATCTCTCGTTCATGCATGCACGAATGCTACTCGTATAAGACACTCGTATAATACGACACGTGGAGGTGGTGAAAGCTGTGCAAGGGGCTTCTCCCATGGACTGCATTGTTCTAATCAATTGAGTTATCCTGACCGTCGACGAATTCCTCCTCTCTAAGCCTACTGTTAGATCAAAATCAATTGGCTGGTCAAGGCTACCGGAGGACTTATCTCCATCAGACCGTTTCACTTACGTTCTGTCTCTATCAATTCACAGATATAGTCGCGTTGATTTTGGAACTAAATGTTGAGTCGCATAGTTTCTAATTTGCTAAACAAAGAACATTAACGTGGCAGTGAACGTATTAAATGTGGTATATTGAAAGTAATAGACCTGTCTGGTGTGATACACGATTGAAGAAGCGTCCTTAAGCAGCTAATTGAGTTTGATCCGAGTATATCAATGTATTTCAAAGTAGGGCACGCGACTTCTGGGGTGAGCGCCTCGCAAATCAAGGGGAGACGCGGCTGAACATTTTCCGTGTACCAAAATATGAATAAAAGCTTAATCTATTTTTATTAATACATTGAAAATGGTCGGTTGTCTTCCGATACATCTGTATCGTGAGTTATCGTGATAGGTACCTTAATGGACAACTTAACGATGTTTTTCAAAACCTTTTCAGGCTGCTTTTTGTCCAAATTCGAATTGGACTTAGCAGCTTTCTCCATGAGCTTATAAAGATTGTCTAAAAGCGAAGTGGTGGCATCGTCTATAAGAAGCGATCTTCCGGCTCCCGTAGACACGACTCTGCCAAGGAGTTTCTTCTGAGCACGCAGACCTAAATCGCGGGCACGACTTCCGGTGCCTCCGGCGGGATAAGATCCACCGTTCAATGTAGTCGCCGACTGCATCACTGAAAAAAAGTTTAACACACTGTACGCATCTGCTTGGGCGAGATATCGGTTAAATAATGGTCCTTCTGTTAGATGGACAGACAGAATCAACAGTATGCAAGAGAGGAACAGGAAAAATACTGTCGCCATCCTCTTTATCTTAGTTTAACCATTCGAGTGGCTCACAGTGAAAATCGTCCACCATTTTTTACTTGTATTTAAACTTTTATAAAAATTACAATACTTAACCACGGTGGACGATTTTTACTGTGAGCTTAGTTTACTTTATCTCTTCTATATTTGATATGTACACTCTTCTGTATCACTTGCATAATTTTTTTGTTTCTACATTATTTAGTAACTCGATCTTCGAACCAAGTCTTTTCAATTTTTAGGGACAAAAGTCTTGACACCTAATCTGGACTGCACGGAAGGATGATATACAATTTCGCCATTGTCTCTTTGTTGGTAGGCGAAGTGTGAATCTCAGCGGCGTCAGGTTGCAGCAAATGTTTCTTCTTCTAATCCTAATCTTTGTTTGAATCAGCGTATCAACGCGAAGGATTGGAAAGGACCGTCGGACCGTGATAGTTAACTGGAATTTCACCAGAGATATTTGCAGAAACGGATCAAATTGCGACGTGGAAAAATTCGAGAATAGAAGAACTCATTATTTAATCTGATTGCTTTCAGATTAACTCTTGCAGTGACTAATACTTATCTCTAATGATTAATGCGAATGTTATCACGATGAAAATAATAATGGCCGTACATGTGTATGCGATCAGGACTTACCATCAAACATTGGTAGACTGCTGTTTCCTCTAGGCGATAACGGGATTGTGAATGAAATAAAGAAGCAGTACTGTTCTGTGAGCACGGTTGAAACTCAGGCAAAAGTAACTAAAATAACCAAGGACAGAAAACAATGAATCGATGTTTGCATAAAATATAAAACGTTGTATCAAAATTAAGCGAGCAACGCAAAATGGCATCAAACAGTTGTTCGCGAGAATGAATTAAAACGTTACGCGGGCAACATTCGTATACCTTGATTACAGTCGGTTACGGCTACAAGATGATAGAGCAGCCAACTTTGTAATTCCATCACTGCCGTGCCCCACGCCACCTGAAAAATAGGTATTACCCTAATGTATTTTCAATTTTACTTAAAATTGTTTTTACAAGAATTTAGTTTCCTTTTGTTTATAAAATTTTTGTTCCAAGCTTTTAATTTGTATCTTTAAAAATATTAAAATCAATTTCTCTGATATAATTAAATGTTTTCTACGTTTAAAATTGCGCCGTTAAGCCCCAGTTATTCTTCGCCAGGACAAGATAAATTACCAACCGCGAAACGGATAAAATTATCATCGCAAGTTCGTAGCGGGCAAAGGATTAAATAGGTTGAAGCATACATGCTCCCTCGCTTGTGTAATTTGTGTCAGTAGCTGAGGTCAGACTCGATCCAGTGGAATTGGGACGTAATGTGCGTTGTGGTTTGTTGTCACGGAGTATAATCGTATATGTATACATCGAGGAGGCATAGCCGGTATGGCAGTTGAATCGATTTGTAAGGAGCGTCAAGGCGAGCTTGGAGACTCTCGTTCTCGTTTGCCAGGAGTAATAGGGGAAAATGGAAACGCGACGGGGCATTGCCAATGGAGTCTCGTGATACAGCCTCCGTGTATTTCGAGAACGTCCTAAACATCGATCGTCGATCGTGTTCGAGCATTTCAAAATTTCCTGCTAAATTCTTCGAGGACTTTGAACATCCGCCACTCGACGATATCCGAGATACTCGAGCACACTCGAGCTATCGAAACGGCTTAATGTATCCCGAATCGCCTGAACGATTTTAAATATAAGACCACTCGAAAGCTATCCAACGATCGAACATGTGCAACAACTTGAAATCACTGCGATCCCAGACATTTTTAATACAGGTTTTTAAAAAGGGAGATTGCATTCCGAGAACCTATAAAATAATAAACACAATAGCGTTTTGTTTCCATGGCAAAACAATGCTTCTAACGGTTCAGTCACTTACTTTCTTATCGCTGTAGTTAATTTCGTGGTGTAAAAGTTCTACATCCTAATTGTACGAAGTGTCCGGTGAATTATGACTGGGAGCGTAGGTATACATATATTCGACTTTCAATGTGTACCATGACTCACGTAGTTACGTGCGCGAGCTTTATCACTCGATACCGTTGTAATTAGAGGTCACCTACATACAGCTAATTTATATACATTACACTTACGCAAGCACAGGCGCAGCATTCTTAAAATTAACTCCCATTTAAAATGGGCTTTGATCGATGTATCGTCCCGTATCGTGCTACCTCGTAAAGTTACATCGAGAAAATGACCGATCGATCGCAAAACTCTCGCTCTCTTCCCTCGGCTGTTTCCTAACTACGATCGATCGAGCCCGCTACACGCGCCAATTAAACGGTCGCTCTGCAGTTCGAGTACCCGTATTAAGCACTTTATTCGCTGCTAGCCTCCGTTGGTTGTGTAACATTTTACTTTTCTTACGCGTTCCGTGAATTCTTTCACCAGTACCAAGCAAACCACACTCGCACACCTCTCTCTCTTTCTCTCTTTCTCTCCCCTTGATTACAGAATTTCCGTAATTGGAATATTTTCTAAAACGCTCCACTTTCTTTTATTTAAATACGTATTTCTGCGGGAATGCTATTCTCCGGTCCTTTTTCTTTCATTCGTATACACATGCATTCAAGGGACAAGACCGCTTTAAAAATCTGAAATAAATAGGATAATATAATATTCAAGAATGTTATTAACCATGCCGTTAAGTGTTAAAAAAAAAATAGTGCAAAATGACGACGCTGGGGCCATTCTCGCGCGATGAATTTCCGGTTTCCGGTGAGAATCATTAAAACAGGTAAAAAGCTTCCGCTCTGATGCTCATATAAGCAAAATTAATTCGTCTTTTTTCTTTCTCTGTAATTCCTAAAGGAAAAAGTTATTTGCGTTGTGTCACGCTATAAGTCATCAGCATGAGTCACGTAGAATGATGTGTATTAATTAAAACTTGTGTAATTTTTCAAACCGTAATGTTCTGTCATAAATTAAAAAATAAAAGTGGACTATTCCTTACGGTAGTAATGTCGAATAAAACATTTCCTACGCAGTGTCCATTGTCATCTGGACATAATTCCATGCCGATAGAGTGAAAAATTGCAAGTTAAAACAGAGAAACAGGTAACAGAGCCCCCAGAGGCCTGGGACTCGTCATTTCTATAATTAGTTATCTGTTTCGTATTATCGCGATATGCTGAAGGACATAACAGACACCCACGTCTCTCGATATATGCAAATATAATTTTTAAAGGACATGTTTGAATAAACAAAAATTTTCTGAATAAATACAATTTATGAAAATAGTGTTTCGTTAAAGTAATCATTTTCTTCGATCGAAATAGCATTAAATTAATGCGTAGAAAATGATTACGATATATTGTTTCTATTCGTTTATTACTAACTCGCGAAACCATTTTACATTTCGAACGAGACCCCTCTCCCTCCGTTCCTCGATTTCCTCAACGTTTTTCTTTTTACTTCTAAAGATGCAGCTGTCACACCGACAGCTGTGGAACTGGCACGGGTCTCCTTGTTAAACTGAGTATCTTGTCTGAGAATATACCTACCACCTGCCCCTCGACCAACGTGTTAGGGTTTCGTGTATATACGCGCGCACATCGTCGCAATAGGCAACGAGCACGTGGTCACACGGACAAAGTTACAAGACGAATTATGTACAGTCCCTCTATAAAGGTCGCACGCTAGCCTGTTAAATACGACTTTTGAGTGGACCCCGTATTCACGGTTGACGTGACCCTCCTTTTCGGATATCGATCCGTGCCGAGACACGCGAGATTCTCCTCCCGAACCAGATCCGAATTTAAACTTATCGCAACCTCGTTGCATTCTGCAATCGTGAATTTTCCTCGATTCTACGGACCTAAAATTTAGAATTAAACTCCGTAACTTACAAATTTTTATCGAATTCATCGTCCAGACCATTTTCATAATTACCGACATATTTGCGGGATGAAAATTAACGAAAGAAAAATACCTAAACTTATCGCAACCTCGTTGCATTCTGCAATCGTGAATTTTCCTCGATTCTACGGACCTAAAATTTAGAATTAAACTCCGTAACTTACAAATTTTTATCGAATTCATCGTCCAGACCATTTTCATAATTACCGACATATTTGCGGGATGAAAATTAACGAAAGAAAAATACCTAAACCAAACGTTTCGAAGTAACGTTAAAGTGATATAGGTTAGTCGCAGTATTTATACGAATCGGTACTTATCTCGTAGTATAAAAGTTTTTAGAAGATCCTCGAAATTATTGTATCTTTTTTAATTAGGTATTCAAGGCCAAAGACACATTCAAGCATCCAGGCGTGGTAAGAATGAGATCTCGCGTTGCATCAACAACCTGTCGCACGAGCCATCGCCATTTATTTGAATCTGAATAACCTAATTACTACGAATATCGTAACACGTTTAATGTTACATTAAATCTTGTGAAATATAATTTAACACGGTTGTCTTTAAAGTAACTGTAACTAACTAGCGGTTAAATGCATATGTGGAAAAGTAAATTGGACACTGGAATGCGAATCGGTTCGTTAAGTAGTTTCTAACTCGCGAGTGGACGTATAAAGGCTGATCCACAGACATGGTAAAAAGTTTCGTAAAAAAAAAAAACCAGAACGTCGCGGTTTTGCTGGTAATTAAGAACACGCGGTGAGCGCGCGCTGACAACGGTCTCATTCATTGCACGGTTGCTCGTTAACATTATCTATTAGAAACCCATACTTCGTAGATCAGTCGAAAAAAACTGTTTACCCGGTGTTGTTGTCCCCCATTTTTTTGTTTTGCCTTCGGATGCGCGATCGACCGCGTCCATGAAAATCATGCACCGTGGAAATTTCACGCTGTACCGATAATCGATTAATTCACGATACCTTGGAAAAGGCTTCGGCCTTTGGTTCTAAATATACACGTACGCCGCACACATTATTTAATCATTTTCTGTTGGTACCTATCAGTTACACATGCAATTAAATTAAGTTACACGCATCCGTTCAGCCATGATCAAGTAACGCAATTAAGCGGGCTTTCTCAGTTTTACGAAACTCGAATTTCCCAGAATTATGCATTTTCCTCTTCGCAAGACTCGCTGTGAATGATACGTTTCAGGTGTTTTGTTAATGTATTTAACTTCCATTTCTAAACCTTTTGCTCTCGAAAGTGTTGTCTCGTGTTGTGTAACTTTTCGCGCGAAATTGCCTTAACGACGACGCAGTACTTGAAATACCTATAGAAATATTTTAAGAAAATGAATAGCAAACACTTACATAAAATGAAATATTAGTAAGATATAATGTTTTGTTGTTTTCTAGTGGATTTAATATTTTTGTGAATCATGGAGAGTGCGGTAACAGATTCATCCATTTATCAAACGGTACTCGAATTTTTGTTAAGCAGTTTTATACCCAACGACGAATAACGAATATCGTTCGTAGCCAATTAATTTAAATTTTAGGCGCGCACTAACCTCTGCTGATGATCTGGGCCGCGAATGCGACCCCAACGCTCGACGATGAAGTTTCTCTTTTCCGACGTCCAGAAAATAGATATTGTTCTATTGTTTTCGTTGCGTTTGTCTCCAGTTTACGCGCATAATAAATTCCACCGATCTAACGAACCTTTGAAACACGTTTTGTCGAACCGAACGTAACTAACACAATTCACAGTGTGCGAAAAAAGACAAGAATCACACCGGCAACGATAGACACGCTCTCCAGACTCTCACAATCTCTTCGACGAACGAACGTCGTCTGTTGTGGTCTGCGAACCCACCCCGGTTACCATGGAATCATCGTTCCGCGAGGTGGGGCGTCTGATGCATCTATGCTCGGGCAACTTCGCAGTGTCAAGGAGAGTTTCCTTCCACGGAGTTCGAGTCATTCCACATCAAGCTACACACCATTCATCATGGTCGTTCATTTTTCTTTTTAACAAGCAGCATGTACATATTAATAGACTTTAAAAATTCATTCCTGTGAAATTTTAATAGCCTATCTTAAACGTTCATCAAGATATGCAATGTTATTACTTTTAAAAATCGAACGAAATGAATCAACGCGCCAATATTTACACTGCACGTCAAGATAACATGTACCATGTATCTCTAATCACTTCAAACTTGAGATAATGTTTTTTTTATAAATATAGATTTGAGACATGCAATGTCACATATTTCCCAAACTTCTACACTTAATTTTTTACAGCCCATTTGCTTATGATGCATATTTGAAAAGAGAGGGAAAAACAGACTAAATAAAAACTTAATGTTTCAAAAATCGCTTTATTGATCGATAGAAATATACGATCGAAACACAGATTAGTTTAAAGAGTTTATTCAAATAAGCCTAATAAAGAAATAATATATATTATATTGTTTATATTAATTACATAAAATATTCGAAATAAGAGTCGTACATAATGCAAATTGTAATGTCATATCCGTTTTATAATTTATAAAAGTTTCCATTTAATAATTAATTAAAAAAAACTTTGAATGTCGTTAATGATTTATTGATTAAATCGCAATAGAAAATGTAATCATTTTGAAATAATCATATTCGATGATCACATTTAGTTTTATTACTTCTATTATTCGTTAGTCATAATAATTAAACAGATTACATTTAGCTCAACACTGATATGTTGTCACTGTTATTGTTTTTTTCTCACATCTGTCTTTTGCTTCATATAACTTTAACAATTACCTTGGTTTAAGATACAAAATGAATAATATGCCCAAAAATTATAATATACATTCTCGTTAACCGGTCAGCGTAGAATAATGGGTACTATTTGTCATAATTATACTTTTAAAAATAATTTTGTTTTACCAAAGGTAATGAAACATATTTTCTTTTGTTTTGTATAAATCGCAATCGTAGCAACAAATAATTGTATTGTTTAAAATGATTAAAAATATTATTTAAAATGATTTCTACTAATGAAAGAAAAGCAAGCAAATAGTGTTTTGGCATTGGAACTATGAAATAGGATTATGTGTTGAGGATTGTTTCAAGATCTTCCACACACAGCTTGACTTTCAAAGTAAATTGAAACATATTATTTAAAATCCTAACATTTACAGACTATTTTGTTGAAGCTTTGAACAAAATGCATAAATTATTAACAAAGTTATCCTATTTTGAATAAATTAGCGTGCGGTTACTCTTGTTCCATAAGGAAATTCTTCCGCAGCTCAGCTAAGCCTGGCGTTTAATTGCTTTCACGCTGATCGGTTAATTGACATTTTTAGAATGATGATTCTCATATCAGCACACAGTCTGTGAGAACTGTACAAACAGTATTGATGATAAAATTCAAAACTGTATTTTTTCCACAATTTGTTGCCTTTACTCTGTGCGCGTTATATGGTATTTAAGTGTTTAATTTATTTCGTAAGAAGGCGTGTGTACGCTCTATCGGAAATATTAAGAGCAGCATGTAGTGTACATAAATCAGTCTCTCCCAAAAGGCTTAAACTGCATAAACCTAAAAGATCAAATATATATGTTATAGATCACGTTTGAAACTTTAAAATTTTACATAAATACTTTCAGTTCTTACATACATAAATATGTATGCAGAGGATCAACTTCGCATTGAACATTTTTCGCAAACCCACCAAACCTGTCACACTGACAGTTAAGAAGGAATGTTCTATTATCTTCACGATCTGAAAATTTGTAAGCATCGAGCATTTGTAGCGTTGCCCCCAGCCAGAAGCTATAACAAGAATCGGATGGTTTTCCAGGTCGTCCATGAAAGCCAAGATCTTGTCTCATAATACACCATTTTGTTAATCTATTTAATTGATCGTTTGTCAGAACATTATGAAGCTCGTTCATGAGGAATAGACTGGCTACGGCACAAAATGTTGATCCCCCATGAGATTCTAAACCAGGTCCTTGACCGATTGCTCCGTCGTACGACTAAAATTATAATCAATATTATGTTACGATAACGGTAAATTAACAAACCTAATTCTTATTAATACTCTGTACATGTAAAATATAAAGAACAAAGCCTTACGATGCTCTTTAATATATAATCAATGGCTTTTGCTTTATCAATGCCTGACCAGTCATTTAAGATCACAGATATACAACAGGCACAATAAAGAAATCTCATATCACTTTCACTTCCAGTTATGATAGCTTTGAACGAACCATCTAAATTTTGACAAGCTTTTACTCCTTCGATAATGGATTTTTTATCTACTCTGGCTAGGTCATCTTCAAGGATTAAGAGGGTAGACAGAGCAACGTATGTCATTGTTAAATGACCACACCGGAATTCAGGAGCATCCTTTGGTATCGTAGTAGATGGTTGGAAACCAGAACGTGGTCCAGCTCCGGTAACTTGAACCCTGTAGATCCATTCTATTGCTTCTAATTTTGTTTGCTTGCTAAGATCATGTAAGCAGTTCAATAGATCTAAACCTGATATAGCAAAGAATGCTATGGTAAGCCTAGAAAAATCATACTCTGACAAATCACTGGGTAATGTTTGTAGAAGTTTTATTAAATATTTGGCATGTTTTCTCTTCAAAAATTCTACCGGTGCGAGGTATCCTGACATTGTACGATAAAAAAAAAATATTACTTCAACTATACATTGATGAGTTAAAGAAGACCGTTGTTGCGTTACAATTCTATTGTACGAAAGGAAAGGAATCCATTATAATTGGTAATAAAGTCTAAAATCCCTAGATGTACGAACTTCCGATATAGATTAGGCACATGGCACATGCATTAGAAAAAGAGAGATCCAACTGGATCCAAAATGGGTGACGAAGTCTTACTTACATCAATGTGTTTAATTAGTTTAATAAAAAATGTTTAGTTACGTGAAAAACAGTTATGTATATTTGTTTTATTTAATAACTGTTTTATAATTCTCACATCTGTCGGTTCTCTTTCTTTCAACTGGGACTTCTGATACATATTTTACCTTTTTAAATGGTCCGGGGGAATCTGATCCAAAATGGATTCCAGTTATCAGTATTTTGTACATTTAGGGATTTTAGTAGACTATGCACTAAGTAGATAGCGCTTTGATTTGAACGATAGAACTAGTTACTACTAGGGGGCGCCGACAAAAAATTGATTGAACGCACGCGTCGCCGGCAAAGTAGCCCTTCCTTGCGCATGCCGGACGTTCGTCGCAACACGCACCAGCCGCGAAAATTTCGGAAACTACATACTGCCCCGGAAACCGGAGATAACAAGAAAAACGCAGTAAGTTAAGTTTCAATTAACCGCATATACCTGTCCGCTTCGTGAATACTTTCTCGCGGTAGTTTCTCTGGCTAGTATGGTAGCGCGTTGATTTGCGCGGAGGTAGTTTGTCGGAGGACGACGCAGGGTTCTCGTGGAAGCGGCCACTGAGGGCGCGGCATTCTTGCAATTGTTGCGCCCGGCTCCAACAGAATAACCAATAGGAGCCGCGGCAGCGCCGCCATTCTATCGAGTTCGTGGCACGCCCTACAACTTCCTCCATTGTCCTTCTTTCCGGGATTCTCTGCGAGGAAGGATGGCTCAGAACAATTATTTTGGGTTTACTCACGGCGGAACGCAATATGGGTACGAAATCGATTGCATACCATAATTATTAAGTAGCTAGTGTTAAGTTTATCGACAAATCGTGACTGTAACTACGTTGGCGGGAGTAATAACTGTTCGTTAAAATCGGTGCACGCGAGAGCCCAGCCGGCTTGGCCGCCATTTCTTGCTGAGAGTTAGAGCGTCCATCGAGCGTCTCTCCCGGGCACGGATCCGATAGAGGTCTTTTTCGTTTTGCCCGTTTCCATTTTACTTTCCGTATCTTGTCCGTAATAAAATCTATTCCTTATTTCGAATAGAGCGACCAGTGCAGCCGCTTATCAAACTGGTCAAGCGGGATATGCAGTAACTCCAGCGGCAACCGCCGCCACGTACACTCAACGTCCCGCTGCCGGCGCGGCTACAGGTTACGAAACTTACCAAGCAGCCGCTGCAGCAGCCGCTACTGGAACCACATACGCTGGTGAGATCACTCTTTACAATTTCTTTTATTTTTCCTTTCAATAGGTATTCGTGTTTTCAACATTGCCAATCAAGTTTGACAAGTTCGTCTAATACCATGTCCGTTTCTCGTTCTAGCTGCTAATCCTGGTACTGTGGCTCAAACGTACGATTACGGTTACGGTCGTGCTGCACCTGCAGCTACTTACGACGCTACCAAAACTTATTATCAGCAACCTGCAGCGGCCGCTGCAACTTACACTACTACAGAAACACACTATCAAGCTGCAAAACCTGCTTATAGTACGACCAGTGCTTACACAGGCACTGCAAGGCAAGCTACTAGTACTGGACAAGCTAAAACGTACCAAGCATCGAGTACGGCTTATCAGCAATCTAATCCTACGCAAAGCGCCACCTATTCCTCTGGATATACAGCACCAGCTACACCAGCCGCAACACCATCGACAGCAACAAATAGTAAGTTTTCATTGCATCGCGTTCAGATGTGGTTATGTGTCCGTGTTTTTCGCCAAAATTCAAAGTCCTTTGTAAATATCCTGCTAACCGTGATCTGGGTTCCAATAATATGAAATTGATCCTCCTGCTATTAAAGTTGTTATACACGAACGAAATATGAAATTCTGGTAATGTTTTAAACCACAACCTGGTTTGGAAGTCTAGTAGAATTGTATATCATTGAGAAGTAAGGAAGTAATCGAATCGAAGAATTTATAGAGATATGAATGTTGCACAGTTTACTTTGCAAATAATTCGATAAAGCTATGAAACACTCGTTTTGATGGATACAAGTTAGTAGAATGGTTCCACGAATACAAAGAATTGACTCCTCCAAAGTTTGAGGTTTCAATTTCATTTCCCTTAGAAACGGCGAGTACAACGTATTCCGGCTACGACGCAGCGCTATATAGCGCTGCGACTATGTATGTAGCCCAACAGAGTGCAAACAGCAATTCAACTAACCAGAAGACTGGAGGTTGGCAGGGCTACGGACGGAAGGGATTTGCCGCTGGAGGGGGAGGGATGAAGGCAATGCGGCCCAAGCAGCCCCCCAAGCCTCAGCAGCTACACTATTGCGATGTGTGTAAGATCAGCTGTGCTGGACCTCAGACGTACCGCGAACATCTCGAAGGCCAGAAGCATAAGAAGAAGGAAGCTTCTTTGAAGGTGCCGCAGCAACCACCAGCGCGTGGAGCAGGCAACAGTCTACGTTGCGAACTTTGTGATGTTACTTGTACTGGAAATGATGCGTATGCTGCTCACATTAGAGGTGCTAAGCATCAGAAAGTTGTGAAGCTCCATACTAAACTAGGAAAACCTATACCGAGCGCAGATCCAACTGTTCTCAACCCAAAGCCAGCAACAGCTGTTAAAACTGCAAGAGCTAACAAAGCTACAGTAACAGCTACTCCTAAAATTAATTTTGTTGCTTGTAAGTATATTTTTATATTCGATTTATTCTTTTTGTACAAGTATACGATTATATAGACACATTTGTTATTATTGTTTGTACAAAATGTAAGAACAGTTTTGTCGTACGTGTATGCAATTAAGTAATGGTACAATATTCGCAGCTGGAAATTTGGGAACTGTAAATCAAAATCAAACTGCAGAACTGAAACCTGAAGAAACTGCAACGGAAGAGACCGTAGAAGAAGCAGCTGTCGATGAGAAAGATATCCAACCAGTTGGCCAAGAATATATAGAGGAGAATAAATCCGAAGACGGAAAGATAATCAGCTTCAACTGCAAACTTTGTGAATGCAGATTTAATGATCCCAATGCCAAAGATATGCATATGAAAGGAAGACGGCATAGATTTGCTTACAAGAAAAAGGTTAATCCCGATTTAGTCGTTGATATGAAACCAAGCTTAAAACAGAGAAAAATGTTGGAGGAGAAACTACGTAGGCAACAGATGCGGGATGAGTATTTACGTCGTAGAGAAGAAATTAATCAATTAGGACCAATGGGTCCGATGGTGGACGAAGAAATGATGTATTGGGAAGAAAGACGGCGTTACGAAGAAGAATGCGAATACTATGAATGGTATCGACGTTATGGACGTGGACCAGGAGCTCCGCCAATGCCGCGTCCTTTCCCTGGACCACCGCCAATGATGATGTTCCCTGGTCCTCAGAGGAGACCGGATTCTTCAGATGACAAACACGTATTAGCTCATCATACAACTATTTATCCTAAGGAACAAGAACTGCTGGCAGTTCAGAAAATTGTTTCAGACACTGAGAAAGCATTGAAGTTCGTATCCGATACTTTAGCAGAAGCTGGTAACTATTTGATTTTATTCTTTTATCGTTTACATTAAGAATGTTGTGAAAATGTTTTTTTAATTATAGGCAAGAAAACTACACCACCTACTAATAATGCTACGCCGACAGTTCCAAGTACACCCGTGCAACAACCAAATGCGGATTCGGCGAAAGCAAAAGAAGAACCTGATAAAAAGAAAAATGCCACACCACAGAAAGAAGATGGTAGCGATGGTAACCTGTTTTCGTTCCAAAAGGAAAAAGAAGACTCAAGAATACTCAGGGGTGTAATGCGCGTTGGTAATTTGGCAAAAGGACTTTTACTATCCGGCGATAACCATGTTTGTCTGGTAGTTCTGTGCGCCGAAAAACCAACACGGTTAGTTGCAACAAGTGTTTCTCAGTATTGTTTCTATAAATATGTTTGTAGGTTAACTTAATTTGTTTCCGTTTTCATAGAACTCTATTGAATAAAGTTGCTGAAATTCTTCCGGCTCAGTTGAAGATCGTAGCTCCCGAGGATACGTACAACGTTGGAAAGCATCCAGAGTCGGCTGCTTTAACGGTTTCAGGAGGGAGCGTGACTGTCAGCGTAACACTCACTAGTCCTCTAATGCGCGAAACGCCTAAACCAGCAGCAGCTGCAGGTGATTAAACCGTTCTATATTTTCATGGTGGCCAAGAAAAGGATAACTATAATCGTTTCAGTAATTTTACAGAAAGCGCCTTTTATTTCCAATGATATTTTCTCGGTTGCGCGGTTTGTGAATTTTGTTTGTTCTTTTCATGGCCCAAATGCTTCTCTGTATATTTTTCAAGCACCAGGAAGACGCAGGTGCAGCCAAGGACTTCAACGGTTGCCAGTGTATATACGCTCTAACATAAAAAAATTCCTTTCCTTTCCAATACAGCTGCAATTTAGTGTGTCCACGATTGACTATGGCTTATACTTTCGGAAAGCACTAAAAAGTCAACGATAAAAAAAAAGAAAAATTGTAAGAGCGTACGTAAACATAAAGTAATGTGAGCCATTTTTTAACGGAAAAGAGAGAGCGTAAACTTGATACGATTAGGCGTCGCTTTAAAATAATTTGTAGCAATAGATTCTATAAGTTCTCGTTTATAAGCTGAGCTGGAGTCTCCAATAAGGAAGAGTATGCTAATATGAACGTGGACACGCTTTTGGTATGAGGAAACAACGCTGAGGCAATTTTAAAACTATGGACTTTTTGATCATGCATTAATAATTTAAAGAAAGAACCCTCTATCATCGAATGCTGTACGCATGTTGTACAATGTGCAGTAGACTCCTTATTCTAACCGACGATTCTCTTGATAGCGATACTTTTGTACGAATTTGAGTAACGCTATCAACGCGATTAAGAAACGTCGGTCGTTCTTTTAAAACTTCGAACGTGAAAAAGGACGTACACGAGTAGGAGTAACTCCACCATTGTCGTGTACTACATTCGATTAGGTTTATTTTTGTTTTGATGAGAATGTTATAGGCTATAGTCCTCATGTTTAATTAATATACTTGAGTTGAAATATAATTATAGAGGGAAAACCCAAATTGGGCATGATCAAACACTCTAAGTGTTGTCTAAGCGTGTTGTGCTTTCTTTGTTGGAATCTCAGATAATGCTGGACAACAGCAACAGGGAGCTGCTCAACCGCAAACTACGCCCGCGGTGCCCGCTGTGACGAAACCAGATCCACCAGATGTACTTCCCAAGGCTAAGTGTTTGGAGGCTTTAGCTGCACTCAGGCATGCCAAGTGGTTTCAGGTTTGAATCAATCAACTCTCAGTTCAAGATTTCAAATTGTCGGTGCCATTTGGCACTTAACGACTGTTTTCTGTTATTTTCTCCTGATACGCGAAATGCGTGCAAGTTGTCCTCTCTCTCTGTCCGCAAAAAAGAGCAGTCTTAGAACTTCCAGCCTTGTGACAATTTTATTTTTATTATCATCTTCTTGTTGATATGATTTTGTCTGAAACATGTATTTGGTCACGTTTGATGTTCCGAAATTCTTACGTCTGCCAATCCAATTTGCCCACTGATTATTGCTTTTTTTACCAAAGATACTGAACACATTTTCTAGAATCATTTCTAGTTTATAATTTCCAACGATTGCTGTATGTGACAACAGTGGCAATGTTTGGTTAATGGCAGTTTTATAAAAACACATGTATGTACATAACTCTGATATAATTTCATAAACAGAAACATTCAACGTGCATTCAGATAGTCTCAGACAAGAAGTTTAAGCATTATGTAAGTATGAATTGTAGCAATTTAAATACTGATGCACACCGAGAGCTTACATTTGCTTTACTTCCAATCATCAACATCCAGAATAATAGGAAACTGTTTGCGGAAAAATCATATTTAAAAGTACGTAATTTCTCTTAAAAGAATGTAGTTTTGTTTATTTTGTTTATAATGCATTTAACTGCTTTATAATGCTTATGATCAAGCTTGTTCATTATTCTGGATTAATCTTAATGCATTGTAGCCTAGACTGAGTCTGTTCTAGGTCTGTCTTAGAAGTTACTAAAGTTAGCGTATTGCTCTCTATAAATATGTACCTTGTTCTTCGATGCTTTCTACACAATGTGCATTGTAAGCACTGTTGACTGTTAAAAGACAGACAAGCACAAACACACAGTGGTGTCATAAGTATATCGGGTGTTTTTCAATTTATAAGTTCAACTGTTATATTTAGCACTTTGTCGAGTGCACATTTTTTCCAATACGTTGTACTTTTTTTTAAATATTATGTTAGGTATTAATTGTTCAGGAAATAATAAACACCCGGTAATTTTGATATGGGCTAATACTTAGGGGTTATAGGCACGAGGCTGGGAGGATAGCTAAAGCCCACACAAAGCAAATTAAAAGTAGTTTAGGGTGTCGCATCTCCAGAAGGCTCAGAGATTTTAACGCGTATATTAAATTATATCTACTGAAGTACTGATCATATTTAACAGGCTAGAGCAACTTCACTGCAGAGCTGTGTTATGGTCATTCGCATAATGCGTGATCTTTGTAACCGTGTACCCACCTGGGGGCCATTGAACCCATGGGTTAGTATACAACAATCTTTTATATTCCAACTTCTATATTTTTATTCAATAATATTATATTAAATATTTAATATCGTAAAGTACATATTTTTTATCGTTACAATAAATTAAATTTATATTATTTACAACAACAAGCGGTTAGAAATAAATAAATATTTAATTACAAGGCATTGGAACTGCTAACTGAGAAAGTGATCAGCACTGCTGGAGGTCCTCTTAGTCCAGGTGAAGCTTTAAGGCGGCTCTTGGAATGTGTGGCTGGAGGAATATTGCTTCCAGGAAGTCCAGGTATTTTTTCCTTCATCGTATATTTAATAATTCAAATTCTATAGATAAAAAGAAACAAAATGATGATACCAGATGACGAGACTGAGCATATTGTGGAGCTTCATTGTTGATTCGAAAATCGAGTATTTCGATTTTCGCGTCTCGATGAAGTATTTCGCAATATCGCGTGGATGATTTGGCGGTCTGATTTTTTTTTATCCTTCCCATTAAATTTATACAATCTGTATAATGGAACACGATAATAAATAATTATTTTTATTTACAGGATTGTCCGATCCGTGTGAAAAGGAACCAGTAGATGCAATAGGTAATATGACGGCTCAACAAAGGGAAGACATAACTGCTTCGGCGCAACATGCTTTGCGATTGGTCGCCTTTCGTCAAATTCATAAAGTTCTGGGTATGGAACAACTTCCACCGCCTAAATATAAAGGCCGATTTACTAGAAAACGTAGACGCGATAACAGTAACGGAGAAGGAACAGACAGTGAGGCTTCGAAGAAAGATAAAAAGGCAGAGGAGATCAAAATGGAGACCGACTCCAAATAGATCTACCAAAATATTCGCTTTATCAATTTACTCATAACTTATATAGTATAAGAAACGAATTTCTCTCGTGTCAATTGCTTGTTCAATGAAAACGTTTCTATACTGGGAAGATGTCAAAGTTTGGAGCGAAATTAAATGACCTATTGCCGCATTATCACGTTGGTTTCGAGTACAGGTATTTCTTTGGACAACTAGTGGCGTCGTTTCAATTCAGAATCCATAATTTTAATGGCGAAGAAAAATTATTGAATCAGGTTTATTATTATATATTTTTATTTCAACTTTGAATGTGTAGCGACATCATCAAAGTATCGTTTTTTCTGCTAGCACTAAGTTCTCAACAATTGAATGACAAAAATGATGTATTTAATTATTACAAGCATCTTAATTTTTAAATAAGTTTTGAATATCTCCGATATAAGAACATATTAATTTCTCAAATCTCGTTTCTTAGGTTCATTTTATGAAACATTTCGATGTTATTTCAGAATCTAGATACTATTCTTTTTAGGGTAAATAAGGACTCTCTGCAATTATATTATTTTATGACAATTTGGAAAAGTTTAAGACCTTTCCCAAACAGGCAATTGGTACGATTAGTTCCAGCACTAGGATTTTGTCAAAGGAAATGATGAATGCGTTAATTTGAATTACTTATTTAGCTATATTTCAAAGTCACCATATATATGATAAAAATTTAATAGAAAGGGTGATAATAAAATGAACATTTATAAGTTTTGAGGTTAAGCGTAGGTTAGTTTGTATTGAGAATTCGTGTGTATGTTGTGTGTGTAGTCGTAAAGAAGTGCAGTATGTTTCACTGCACCAAATAAGTTGTAAGTTCACGTTGCGTGGATTGTTTCACGCAGAAGATTCCAAGAAAGCAGAGTTGCAAGTCGATTATTGAAATAGACGCTTTGCTGTCCAATGAGGGTTAAGTGCACGTGTCAAGAATTCCTGAAAACTTGCTGCAGTTATTTAAAAATCTCAGGCAGTCGAATATCGCTTGAAAAATGTCCTTATTGAAACAAATTTTTCTCTGACACAGTGTATGGATCTTCTGTTGTACACATGCAAATCCTCTTTGAATAAATCGAACATGCATGCGATAAGTATAAGGTTTTTTTTCACTTCCATATTCCTTTGCGTATGTAGTATATTATGACATCATTTAATAATGAATCGGACTAATAAGAATCCTCTTAGTAAGAAGGCCACACACACAATAGCACTCAGATTGTATGATTATGGTTACTAGGTAATTTTTTACATGAACAAACACTTAACATACAAAGAAAGTTAATTTATTTTTGAATCGCACCGAGCAGAACTGAGACTGATACTGTATTAATTTTCTACTAAACATAGAAGATAGTACACAAAATTAATAAAGAAAGATTTAATTTACATTGAGTCACGAAGGTAATTTTATATAACGTTTATTCTGTTTGGTGCAACTAGTCTTTTATGATACGAGTGTTCAATGATTTAACCCCCATCATTTCGATTTTTTATAACATTTGTAATTCATAGGCATAGTTACGGTTATTTTAATCCCTTTTGACTGAACTGGCACATGCTTCAACTCAATATGAACTAGTATTAGCCACCTTTCGTTTCCTGTTTCACAGTATTAATTAAAATATATTTGTATATATAATCTCGAGCTACGTGACATATGTATTTTTAATTTATTATCTTTTCAACCAAATATTAATGTAACATAATGCGTTGTACGTTTGCAGGTGTTTTACAAAGAAAATTCGCAAACTTTCTCTACTCAGTCCTTGTAACCTGCAATAACGAAAGTGTGTAGAGCCTTGAGGAATTTTCATTTCAAATTCTATGTATTATTTGTTCAGTATTACGAATTGAACGGCATAGCGAAGGTAAATTGATAATGATATTTTTGTTTGATAGAAAAAAAGACATTTTATTTTTTATTTTCGAGAGCAATTCTTAATTTAATACGTGTTAGAAAGTTGTTACATGTTTGCTAAACAAAAATCCCGTTTGAAAAAAATAGGTTAATCGAGTAATTATTAAAACTAAACTGTAAATTGAGAAATGTAAAAAATCTAATCTATAAAGTCTGCGAGTTTTCCTTTTCTTTTTCTTTTAGACTAATAAATTGTTGTGGTTATTAATCAATCATGTAATTGTGCAGTTGATTAAAATCAATTACTTCAATGTTATTAATAAAACATTAAACTAAAAAATGTACATAGCTTACCATAAGTAATGTTTTCGAAATTGTCATGTATTTCATATAAAACAATTATTTATCTATATACATAAACAAAATTTGAATCTATTGCTAGCTGTAATTAATTTAATTTTCTTTTCATTTTTTTTTTTTTTTTTTGTTTTTGAGTACTACCAACGAAATGGACTTCACTACGCAGTGAAAAAGATACATTTATTTATAAACATCTGGTAAGTAATTTCCGGGAATTGTTATAGAATGAAATGCTATAAATAAACGAAATATTTCTTTCCAAGCGAAACATTAAATTCTATTACGTTATATAATGCAATACAGTGTAAATACATGTTTGAAATATGTATTTAGGTATACCTATGCACTAATTTAAATTAATGCTGTTAATATTGAATCGTTTTCTAAATACATTTAAGACAAATTTTATGAGTTATGAAACAGTTGAATCAGCCTAGTACATAAAATGCAATGTAGTCATTGTCTTTGGAATTTTATTCTGTATTAAATTAATTTTTTTCTATGATTGTACATAATTTTAATTGTCATGTGCTGTTTATTGTGAATTGGATTGTTTCTAAAACCTATTCGTGCATTGATCGTATAAGCTACATATTTTGCATTTGTTGTTGTACGTGTGCACATAGATACCTAATAATAATAACTTTTACATAAATATAACATGTATATGTGTACATCGAAATTACTGGAACAAATATGAAAAACAATGAATCATCATTTTCTTTTGTTTGGTAATTTAGATTTTTGTGCGCCATCTATTTGAATCAGAATGTGACATTTCAAAGACGAAAGTATACGAATAAAATTTTCCGTTGAATAAGGAATATTATTCTGAAAACGACAATATATTACAATGATTTTAAAAAATGATACGAAGTTAATGTAAAACAAAAAATACATTAGCTCTACGCTTTGTCTGAAAAACCAATCCGGGTGCAGCGACACCAGAAAATTTAATCCAATAAGCAACTGACAGGAAATCTTGTGACTCGTTTGCGCATGATCAGTATATCTTTTGATGGCCCCATAAAAGGAACGTTCAGTTTGTGCTGTGTTCAGTTCTACAAGATTTCTTGCGGAGGTTTTAGTCGACTAAAAAGAGCTGTAACGTATTTTATTGAAAATTTTTGCTACATTACGAGGTATTTCTACGGAAGGTAAGAATAGTTACGTTTATTGTTTAGATTATCCTTTTATTTAAAGGAAATTGCACATTTCATCACAATTCTACATTGTTTCATCATCATATTTGTACATTGTAATTATACGATGCGATATTTGTAGCGTTAACTTCGTTACTAATAAAAAATGCGTACAAAAGAGTATTAAATGAGACATTTACCGTTTAAAGAAGCCTTTTGGCCTTGAGGGCGTCGACCATAGGTTTGGTTTCAAATCAATTTCTACAACAGTTTCGAAAGACTATTTCAATTATAACCGGGGGGCATATAAATATAGTGCTAGAGTTATATGTATTATGGACGAGAACATAATCTTTTTGTCGAATACTTAATATCTTGAACTGAAGGAATCAGCACTTTCATTTGTGGCGTAGTAGCTTGCAATAAAATGGCGGTTATTGATTCGGTCAACTGACGTCATCATGGAGAAGATATCTAGAACATTCCATATTAAAATTTGTCATGTTTAAACGATTCTTATGATTTTTATGATAAACGTATAGAATGTGCATAGCGCGGATCGTCTATAATTGTTTAAATTTCACTTTATATACTTAGTAATTAGCAATATGTAAATTCGATAATTATCATAAGATAGTTTTTATTTTCTTCCCAGATAAACATGCAGATCTTTGTTAAAACATTGACTGGAAAAACAATAACCCTCGAGGTAGAAGCTTCCGACACGATCGAAAATGTAAAAGCAAAAATTCAGGATAAAGAGGGCATTCCTCCAGATCAGCAAAGATTAATTTTTGCTGGGAAACAGCTTGAAGATGGACGTACATTGTCTGATTATAACATTCAGAAGGAATCCACCCTCCATCTTGTACTCAGACTTCGTGGAGGTATGCAAATTTTTGTGAAGACTCTTACAGGAAAGACAATTACTTTGGAAGTCGAGGCATCTGATACTATTGAGAATGTCAAAGCTAAGATTCAGGACAAAGAGGGCATCCCTCCAGATCAGCAAAGATTAATTTTTGCTGGGAAACAGCTTGAAGATGGACGTACATTATCTGATTATAACATTCAGAAGGAATCTACATTGCATCTTGTACTCAGACTTCGTGGAGGAATGCAAATTTTTGTAAAGACCCTAACAGGAAAGACGATTACTTTGGAAGTCGAAGCGTCTGATACTATTGAGAATGTTAAGGCTAAAATTCAGGACAAAGAGGGCATCCCGCCAGATCAGCAAAGATTGATATTTGCTGGAAAGCAGCTTGAAGATGGACGAACATTATCCGACTATAATATTCAGAAGGAATCCACTCTCCATCTTGTACTTCGTCTTCGAGGAGGCATGCAAATTTTTGTAAAGACTCTTACTGGGAAGACGATTACTCTGGAAGTCGAGGCGTCTGATACTATTGAGAATGTTAAGGCTAAAATTCAGGACAAAGAAGGCATCCCGCCAGATCAGCAAAGATTGATTTTTGCAGGAAAGCAGCTTGAAGATGGACGGACGTTATCTGACTATAGTATTCAAAAAGAATCTACATTGCATCTTGTACTTAGACTGCGTGGAGGAATGCAAATTTTTGTAAAGACTCTTACAGGAAAGACAATTACTTTGGAAGTTGAGGCATCTGATACTATTGAGAATGTTAAAGCTAAAATTCAAGATAAAGAGGGCATTCCCCCAGATCAGCAAAGATTAATTTTTGCCGGAAAACAACTAGAAGATGGACGAACATTATCTGATTATAACATTCAGAAGGAATCCACTCTCCATCTTGTACTCAGACTTCGTGGAGGAATGAAAATTATCGCGAAGTGTCTTACAGGTAAGATTACTATTTTGGATGTCGAGGGTACTGACACTATTCGGACTGTTAAAGCTAAAATTCAAGAAAAAGAGGGTATTCTACCACATCAGCAAATATTAGTTTTCTTTGGGAAACGGCTAGAAGATGGACGTACAGTAGCTGACTATAAAATTCAAGAAGAATCTGTGGTGAATGTTGTACTCAGTCTTCATGATTGAATGCATTTTTTTTGTTAAAACTCTTACAGGAAAGACAATTACTCTGGTAGTTGAGGCGTCCGAAAAATTCAAGATAAAGAGGGTATCCCACCAGATCAGCAAATATTAATTTTCGCCGGGAAGCAGCTTGAAGATGGACGTACATTATCCAGAAAGAATCTACCCTCCATCTTGTACTTCGACTTCAAATTGTATTTCAAATTTGTACAGGTAAATCTTTGTATTTGGATCTTAAGGACAATGTTTTTAAGAAGGAAGGCATCCCTCTAGAAGAGTAACGGATGATCTATGCTGATAAACTACTGGAGGATGGTCGCAAACTTTCCGACTACAATATTTATAAGGACTCGACCCTTTTTTTAATTCTCCGCCTAAGTGGTGGTGCTTTATGATTCCTGAATTTGATTTAGTTTTAAAGCATAGACATATATGATAAATGGAAATACATTTTTTTACTTATATTCTTACTAGCGACTGATTATCTAATATTTATGTTAATGGTATACACTGGTAAATAAATGATGCTTTAATGAAATTAATCATTATGTACTTTGTAATTTTTTTATTTGTTATATGTATAATTGTTAGAGTAATTGTTAGATACAGTATAAAGTGTTTTTCTGTCTAAAATTTCGAATGCATTTTATTTGTAGTTTTCTAATGAGTGTTACAATATTATTACAATTGTGCCTTATGGCATTGTAGTTAATATTGAACATTACATTTTGATCATTAGACAGTATTCTAGCATTTGCTACTTAAACGAAACTACGTAAATTTCTATCAAAACTAGTCAATATATTTCAAATGCGATGATTGTAATTTATCGAAGAAACAAGCATGCACTAATTTTTGTTCTATTACTTTACTTCTTTTGACAAACTGGAAAAATTGCAGCTTTAAAATTCGATGTTCGAAATAAGTTATAGTATTCGTTATAGTTAGTATCTTTATCTAAAGTTTCTTGTTTGCGAAAAAGAAGTCTTACGATCAGAAATATGAATGTATCGATACTGTAGTGTTCTCTCATTTCTTTTTAACGTTTAGTCTTACAAATCGATTAAGATTAAACAGAGTTGCACAGTATTTGTATCTTCTTTTTCCAAGTTAAACAAAATTCGTCCGAGTACATGTTATGTTAATCGGATCTTCGATATTTGTCTTACCTAGTGTATAACTTGCGATTAAAATTGTGACTATTTGAACTAGTATAAAAGCGATACCCGAATGCTCGCTGTATTTTATAGAAATTAAACAAGGTGATGCGTAATCGTCAGTGGCAGTGGTGACCTACGGTCAGTCCACAATTATTTATACTTCAGCTGCTCCGATGCATGCATGCAGTAATTCGATTAAAATTTTCACGCGCTGACGAGACGTGAACGAATTTCCGAGCGTTTTAGCGTTGGTCGGTAGTTTAATATCACCGTGGAAATTCTGGGAATTACCGTTAAATTTTCATGTACTTAAAATGTTCGTACTTACATGCTACCGAGTGGACTTTTGTATAATATTGATAGAGTTTTCGAAATGGAACAAGTAAAACGTATGGTATTACAATATAGTAGTAGCTTACAATAGATAGGTAATAGATAAATACGCATTTTCGAAAACAAAAATTCTCATCGAGGTCACCTCAGGTGAATTTTAAAATTGTAATTAATTTGCTAAAAATCAGTCTATCCGCGGTTTCTATCCGAGGCACCTCTCGTGTTCGTAATAGAAGCTTCGGGAGACATCGGAGCGTCCCCACCCCGCCGCCTAATTCCCGAGCGTTGCCGAGCACAGCCGGCGGCCATCATTCCGACTTTGACGTCAAGACGTAGCGGTGCTCCGCGACTGAGGTGCGTATTTCTAACCTATTAATCTTTAATTACAATCTCTTGCAATACTGTTTCGATAATCATCGTTTCTGTACTTTAATGCATCGTTATTTCGTTTCTGTTACAGTCTCCCATTGGAATTCGAAATTAAGAAGACTTGTCGAAACCTGTCGAAACCTGTCAAGACGTGTCGGCGTTTCGCGACCAACGAAGTATGTATTTCTAACCTTTTCCTATTTCCTAATTATAATCAGTCATTGTTTAATTATGATTTTATTTCTATATTATTTCTGTTGCAGTCTCTGATTGAAATTCGACGCCATGGAAAATTTTATTGGCGCGTAAAGGACGCCATAACAGATGGCAGACCAGTCGACAAATTTTGAAGAGAATATTGGTAACATTATTGGTAACGTTTAAACAATTATAACAAAAATTAACATTCATATTAATATTTGTACATTTTTATCGTAGCTTTATTACGTTATTCGTTGTAAGCATGTTCTTAATTTTCTGATCGGTCATTGTTAAGATAAAGTATTAAAATCGGTAACAAACATTTTATCTACTTCGATACATATCGAAGTATACAAAAATGGCGTCGGTAGATATTAACGATACATTGGAATAGTTTATATTAGACTGTATCTTGATCGCGATTGAATATTTCCGACTGTTATTTATTTAATTGATTCTTTAGATTTCTTTACGAATCGTCGTAATTGCAATTTGCATATACATATATTTCGATACAAGTTTCATAAAACGTAGTAACTGCGGAGTTGAAATATGCTATTCAGGCATAAATAACTAGCAAACTTTAATTCTTGCAAATTTCGGAATATTTATAAAAATTACGAGATATTCTAACGTTCGGTAAAGTAAACATGATCATGCTTGCAACTCTAATTATGAAATTTAGTGATATAATATTTATAGATTAAATAATTATTTCCGTAGATAATATTGTGTCGTTGAAATTCTCATTGAATGAGAATATTTCGCCTTCGTGGCATTGATCTTGTACGGGATAAACTATGTATGTATACAGCAGTAAGTACTAAGCAAAGCAGTGTTTTCGTTGTCGAATTCTAGTAAGAAGAAAAACAAAAATCGATAGGCTAAGCGCACAGATGTGCTTGTTGTATTTCTTGTCTCCTGTCCCTTTCTTTTCAGGTCTTTTCTTTCCAGGAAATTTGTTGGCCGCGCGCAATGCGGCCGGTAGAGTCAGTGATCGAGCGTAGCAACAAGTTTGTTTTTCGGGCCAAAGTGACCCCAAGCACGTTATCGTTCCACGGTGTTAGACAAACGCGAGAATAGAAGCAGTGTTTTCTACGCAATATTAAATTACTTACAGAGCATCGTGGCTCTTTCTGTTTTCCGAATCGCGATAGTAGAATCATTTGTTCGCCGATTTAAATCTTCGGTCGCGGTATTCTAATTTAATATTTTCCAATCAAATTAATTATTTTTTCAATTTGAAATTTAAACTCCTCGTTACCGGAATTAGAGTCGGTGCATCACCGAAGAGGATTATTTGGCGATGCTCCACGAGCAAACAATGTAGGTATAAATTTATACTTTGGAATTTTTAATTAAAAATCTTTACAGTTTTAACAATAGATTCTAATTGTTTTCTTACAGTTTTCTTACAGATTCGGAACATGATCCTGGGAACGAGTAGCAGTACTCGGGGAGTATCGGGCGGTGGACCACGACCGAACAACGTAAGTATAAATTTATACTTTGAAATTTATTAATTAAAAATCTCTATAATTTTAACGATAGATTCTAATTGTTTTTTTGCATTTTTGTTACAGTCTCTGGACCTGAATCTTACCAGCAGGACCATGCTGACCGATGGATGACTTCGGGGGCTTCAAGTCTCATCACTGGTAAGTCGCATGCTATTTTGTTTCCTCTGGTCCCCAACCATGTTGTAGGATGAAAGATCCGAATCAACACGGGTGACCAGTTGTATACTTGTTATTTTTGACGAGTTAAGTGTGAATAGTAACATCATCTGTTATATTTTTTAGAGCAGGTTTTAGGGTCTTCTTGCACTCGCGTTTCTTAATATTACAAATGAATATAACACAGTTATATGATTGAATAGAAAATGAATAAATATAATGTGAAAATATTATATTTATCATACGATCGCGTAGAATATGAATGATAATTAATATGACACTGTACAACAATATTTACAGTATTAATATAAATTCATAACTATTGATCGTTTACTTAATTAATACATCGTATGATGTATTTAACGTGCAAGAAGGCATTTCGCGACAGGTCGATTTTTTAGTCAAAGTAACATGTATTTTATACTAGTTTCATCTTTTAAAAAATTTACTTTGACGACAGAATCGATCAAGGATAGTTGAATATTTTTATTAACAATTTATTGTATTCATTTCAATTTTTAAAGTAAATTCTTTTAACATGAAATCTCAAGTAGAGTCATTCATTTTAAATAATTCAATTTCAATTATAATAGTTTCATCGAATAGTAGTAGTTTTCAATATTAACATATTTTATTATTGATATATTACATATAACAAGTCGAGTCATTTGAACTAAAAATTAGATACGAAATACCGTTTAGCTATTAACCAGTTTTTCTAGTCAGGATTTTCAGAGTAATTTTTCCGTGTTCGTTGCCCAAGTTCATGCACATGCCCAGGTGCTATTTGCATGTGCGAAGGCAACGGGGCACGATGAATTTATTTATAACAATTCAACGACATATCGACGACTGACATTGGCTAGTGAATCGTGCGCGACGTACTCTCCACATGTGTGTGTGTGTGTGTGTGTGTGTGTGTGTGGTTAGGTTGTGGAAGTGCGTCGTTTCAGATGTTTTATGATTGCAATTTACATATAGAATTTTATAACGTTAGATTTTTATCAATAATAATATCAAATTTCAATTTATCATTTATTTGAAAACTGTTGATCTTAATGGATTTAAATCTGAATATTTTTCAATCTTCAATGATACATTTATGCAATAGATTTTATTAAAGACTATATTCCATATATTGAAACGTTCTATAGAAACGTTTATCTATATAATATAAGAACGCAAAGATCACTAGCCTTTGTCAGTCCGCCAGAAACTAGTAAGTGCACAATTAGAGTGTGAATGTTTGCAATATTCGGGTGTCGGAGGAACCCCGGGGAATCCTCTCTAGTTTAGGTCGCGCCCGAATATTATGCGTGAGAACCGTGGAGTGTTTGTTTGCGAGAATGAGTTTTGCAATTTTTTAAATATAGGTTTAGGTAGGTAGGTAACTTTTTCTCTGGTGTGTGTGTGCTTAATCTAAGTAAGTAGGTAGGGTCAGGGCAGGACTGTCCACATTAGTAATTCGGGTAGGCGCGTTTTCGCGTGGCAGTTCTGTTCCTGTAGTTACGATTTCGAGAGTAGAAATTTTGCTGATTCAAACGGTGTACATGTGCTGTTTGTTTCGGCTTTATTTTCGACTCCTCGAATCGCGCGACTCTTAAAGTCGCTCTCTCGCGCTCGCGCTCGCGGTCGTGATCAGGTCCCTTTCGAAACGTTCGTCCCCCTCGAGATTCACCACGTACGCTCTTGCAACAATTCGTATATTGTTGTAAGACTACGTATTGCACAAAATCTCGATGCCCTGTTTTAAGTAAGTTTCAGGCATCGGCAGGACCGCCGAAGAAAGAAAAGGCTCTATAT